AGACGCTGTCTCAGGAAAGGGCTGAGGTTGCAGCTCAGTAGCAGAGTGTGTGCTTAGCATGTGCAAGGGCCTGGGGTCCATCCCTAGCACCAAAAATAAACTAGGTTGAAAATGGTGATTAATCACATGTCCCCACTTAAGTAGCTGCTGTTTCGTTTGGACAGGGTCACACTGTGTAGTTCAGGCTGGCCTCAGATTTTCAGGAATCCCCTTGCCTCAGCCTCCTGAGGGAGAACAGGAGCTTTGATCCCATAGGACAAGCTGGATCTTTAGAATTCTACCCACTAAATAGGGCTGGGAACAGAGGGGCAGGGCTGGACCCAAAGTCTCTCACTGCATCCTGAGATCTTGCTTATGGGGCCAGGCGTGGTGGCAAATGCCTTCATCCCAGCACTCAGGAGGCTGAAGCAGGAGGATCTCAGGTTCAAGCCCAGCCTGGGCAACTTAGTGATTTAATTTTTATTTACTTTTTTGTACTGGGGATTGAACTCAGGATTTTGCACTTGCTAGACATGTGTTTAATGCCACTGAGCTACATCCCCAACAATTTAGTGATTTAGACCATGTCTCAAATTAGGCATGGTGGTGCACACCTGTAACCCCAGGACTCTGGAGGCTGAGGCAGGAGGATTGCTGTGGGTTTGAGGCCAGTCCAGGCTACATAGTGAGGCTGTCTAAAAAGAAAGTCAGTTTTTTTTCTTTTAGTCTGTAAAACACCAAATACAAAACAATATCGCTCTGGTAGAAAGGGCTGGCCACCAGCTCGTTCTCCATGAAGCCCAGAGCCGCTTGTCCTAGAAATGGGGCCACCCTTTCGTTTGCGGCCCAACGGTCACCCGGACTTGCTGAGGCAGGGTTTGCACAATCTCCTCGGGTGCTGGGGTGCAGGAGCAGGATAGGGGCCCCACTCCGCTTCCTCTTCCTGCTCCAGGTGCCTGGGCTGGAGGGCGGATGCCACAGCTCCCTCGAGCGGCCTCCGGGGTGGACGGTGGTGCCCTAGGTCCCTCCCATGGGTTCCTGCAGGAGCCGCATGAAAGCTGGTCACCAAGGCTAGAGTGGATGGGGCTGTGCCACCCAGCTGTCACTGCTCTGTGGCTGTCAGAGCAGGAGAGGAGCAGGAGGTAGAGCCCCTTGTTGGTGCCGGGGAGGGGAAAGAGCTCAGATTCGGGCTCCAGCTCTGTGGCCAGGCTGAGGGGTGCCCGCAGCAGGACCTCAGACGTGGCCTCTGCGTGCCAGGCGGCAGTGGCTGCCAGCTGGGACCAACCTGGGGTCAGGACACCAGCGTCCTCTGTGATCCCTGCCAGGCCCGGCAGAGGAGGCGGGAGGGAGGACAGGGAGCTGGACGTCTCACCACAGGGCTCCGGCGCCCAGTGCGGGCAGCCCAGCGTCTGGAATGAGGGAGCCAAGCCCCATTGGTCTGACCCCGGGATCTGGGGCCCAGCTCCCTGCGGCAGAGGCCGTGCTGAGGACTTGGGGTCACTGGGCCCAGGACTCCACCCCAGCCTGAGTGGCAGCTGGGACAGGACAGCTGGCTCCCTGGGCTGAGAGGTGTGAGGCTATTTCAGGCCAGGCGGCCTGTGTTCCTGGGGACAGATCACTGGGAACACAGGCACAGAGGGGTCAGGCAAAGGCTGCCACCTCCAAGGCAGGAACACGCAGCACAGCCTCTGACCTCGCCTCCTGCACCCCCCCCCCCAGCTAAAGGTTGGGGCTCGGGACCTTCCTAAGCTCCAGGCAACAGCTGTGCCAAGCCCCCGCCAAATTCCTGCGATGGTTGCAGAATCCAGGCTTCCGCTCTTCACACAAAGCTGTGAGGCTTCAGCGCCACGTCGAGGGGTCCCCACAGGAGGGCCAGGGGCTTCTGACTGGTCACAACTGACTGGAAGAGAAAGCAGCTGTTCTTTGGCTCTCTGCAAACTCCACAAATAGATCTGCTGACGCTTCTGGGAATTGCTTCCAGCTTTTTTCTTAATTAAAAAAGAATATGTGCTTATCTCAGCACTTCTTATAGTAGCCCAAATGTGGGGGAAAGAAACACAAATGTCCAAAATAATAAAATAAATACATATAGTATGTGTGTGATGGAATAATACACAGCCACAAAAATGAGTTAACTACACCTGCTTGTAAGGATGTGGGTGACTCAAAAATAATATCTAGGGGCTGGGGATTTAGCTCAATGGCATCTGCGCCTGCCTAGCAAGTGTGAGGTCGTGAGTTCAATCCTTGGTACCATAAAAAAAAAAAATGGATAACATGGACTGGGGTCTAGTGCCGTAGTACAGTACTTGCCTGGCTTTTACAAGGCCCTAGATTTGGTCCTAACCCCGAACACGTAAAAAAAAAGACACAAAACACAGTATGACTACACACACACACACCTGGATTACTGAGACTTGAGCCCAGGGCCTTTCACAGGGCTGCATGCCCAGCCCTTTTTACTGTATTTTACTTTTTTGAGACAGGATCTCCGTATGTAGTTCAAGCTGGCTTTGAACTCACTATGTAGCCTTGGCCAGCCTCGAACTTGCAGCAATCTCCCTGCCTCAGCCTCCTGAGCGTTGGGATTACAGGCGTGCACCTCCACACCTGGCTACTTAGCATTATTTTTTAAAAGTTAGATACACAAACATAATATTTGCCTTCCATGAATCAAATACAAGATCAAATGTAAAATACAGCCAAAAACATAAAAATCTTCAAAAAAACTCTATGACCTAAGTTAATGACATCACACACCATGGGTGGAGTGCTGTTTTTGGTGGTACTGAGGACAGCACCCAGGGCCGTTGCACTGAGCTGCGTGCTCAGCCTTTTCCACCTTTTATTTTGAAATGGGGCCTCAGTATGTTGCTACATTGACCAGTCCGGACTTGAAGTGTTGATCCTCCTGCCTCAGCCTGCCACACTGCTGGGATTCCAGGTGCGTGCCACCACACCCCCCTGGATAAGAACCTTTAATATTCTTAACGTAGCTTCATTCCCCGAATTGATGTGCGGCATCAAGGCGGTCCCTGCTAAATTGCCAGGTAGCTTTTTGAAAAAAAAATAGAAAAACTGATCTTCAAATTGATATGGAAAAGCAGGGACCCTCAAATACCTGAAATAATATTTAAAAAAGAAATGACACCAAAAAAAAATTAAAGAGAAGCAAAAGAGAGGAGCGTGGACTACAGCAACCAAACAATGGTACCAGCAAGAAACACAAGAGACACAAATCTCCACGTCGGCCACAAGGCCACAAGGCCTTAGATGCGATCCCAAAGCACAGCCAGCCAAAGCGGGGAGCAGACACAGTGGAAGCCCTTGTACCCGTCTGGCTGGACATCAGTGCCCAGGCCGGCCTGGCGCACACGGAGTGGATGCTGTAGCCCAGCAGAGGCCCAGCCTCCTTTCGTCCTTTGAAGGACAGGAAAAGCGATGGACAGAGGCCCGCAGGAGGGGAGGAAATACTTGCACATCCTCCTCTCCTATGGCCCGGGGTCCAGATGATGTAAAGAACTTGGGCAACTCAACAACCAGACTCGCTGAAAAGCAAACCCAGTAGGTATTTCTCTGTAAATGACCCCCCAACTCTGGGTGAGCCCCTGAGGTGGTGTTCACATCCTTATTTCTTAGAGAAGCCTCATCAAAGCCGGACAGGCCGGCTCCTCGCACCCGGACACGTGATAACCCCCACTGGAGAAGTCGGGGATGTCCTTGTCACCAGGGCAGACAGATGGCACAGCTTTTGGGAGACTCCGAGCTGGACTTGGGAGGGTCCAGCTGCCCCGGACCCTCGAGATTCCGCTCCTAGCTCTTTACACCGGAGGGCTGGAAACTGCTGTCCCCACAAAAACAGCTCGTACTTGGAATTCGACAGGAGCAGAGGGTGGGCAGGCCGGGTGCCCATTGGCCGAGGGGCGTGTGCGTAGGCACGGTACGGGGCCGCGGGTATCCTCTGTCCCTGGCAGGTGAAGCAGGGAGCGTTCCGCAGCTCGGTGACCTGAGAGCACGCTGCTGACCTGCTCTGCATGAGTCATGCGTGCTGCCGAGCATCCGGGACAGACAAGTCCTGGCTGAGCAGGTGGCCGGTGGTTGCCAGGTCTGGGGACAGGCGGGGGGTGCTGAGCTGAGGGAGCAGGGTCTGCAGTGGGCGATGGCCATGCAGGGCGGGACTCCAGGGCTCGAACACGCTAGAAACCAACGAGTAGCTAAAGGGGCCAAGCAGAGCCTGAGAATTGTGTCTCAACACAAAATATCAGATTTTCAAACCAGAAAAAAGTGTGTTGGGAATCAGTTTTCATTTTTTAAAAGCCCACATCACATAAGAGAATATATATATATATATATATTATTTTTTAAAATAATTTTTAGCTGTTTTAAGAGAAACCGATATGCTTGTAGGAAAAGCCGGAGCCCGCAGAGTTGTCAGCACCAGGAGGACCTCTCTGGAAGGCGGCTCATACTCTGGGGTTGTTTTTGTCGCCAGTGGAAAGAATCTAACACCCGCGCCCTGCACAGAAACCTGTCGAAAGGGAAGAAGGTAACATTAGCCCTAAAATGCCCCTCACCGCCCCCCACCAGTACAGGACGTCCCGGCCATCTGGCAAAAGCAGGGGTCCCCTTGGGGGCCACAGATGGGGAGGGGCCTTGATGGGAGCGTGTGCCTGTGGCTTGTGGCTAGGGCGTAGTGATGGGCAGTCATGGGAGGCAGTGGGGCACTTTGTGGGCGTGGCGTGTTGTTTCTGGGCGGGGCCGGGGGCTGCTGGGTGGGCGTGGTGGAAGATTCACGGGTGTGGCAATGGGCGGGGCGGAGGCGGGTCGCGCCGAATGTTGTCAAGTGGGCGTGGTCTAAGGGCTCAGGGGCGTGGTAATGGGCGGAGAGTGGAGACGGGCTTACGCTGGATGGTACCTGGTGGGCGTGGCCTGGGGCTTGGTTGGTGGCACTGGATGGGGGCGGGACTAGGGGCGGGACTGAGCGTGCCGGGGGCGGGGCTGAGCTGCTGGGCGGGGCCGGGCAGCCAAGCTGGTGGGCAGGGAGCCGCGGAGTCCGGACTTGGCGTGCGGGCGGGGCGAGCGCGGAGACTAGCTGCGGGCTCCACGGTGTCGTAGGGCGACCCGGCCTGGTCTGTCCGCCCCGGCCCCGGCCCGCCAACCATGCCGCCGCCCGCGCCGCCCACCGAGGTGCTGCCGGCGGTGCGCGTGGCGGTGCTGCTATCCTGCACGCTGTCCGCGCTGGGCTGCGGCCTGCTGGTGGCCACGCATGCCCTGTGGCCGGACCTGCGCAGCCGTGCGCGACGCCTGCTGCTCTTCCTGTCGCTGGCCGACCTGCTCTCGGCCGCCTCTTACTTCTACGGGGCGCTGCGGGACTTCGCGGGGCCCTCCTGGGACTGCGTGCTGCAGGGCGCACTGTCCTCCTTCGCCAACACCAGCTCTTTCTTCTGGACCATGGCCATCGCGCTCTACCTGTACCTGAGCATCGTGCACGCGGCGCGCGGGCCCCGGGCTGACCACCTCTTCTGGGTCTTCCACGTTGTCAGGTGGGTGGTGGCGCACCGCGTCCCTGGCCTGGACCCGGGTCCCTGCCAGGAGGGACGAGCGCTTGTCCCCAGTGTCTGGCCCTGGTCACTTAGAAGTCACTGGGACGACACTGTGTGTCCTGAGTCTCCTGTTTCATCACCTGGCCATCTCCACTGCCCAAAGGGAGAAGGCCCTGTCCTCAGGCTGGCACCCTGGGCTGAGAGCCCACAGCTTCCTGCCTTACCCGGGACACAGGGCACGCAGGCAGCACTTCTCAGCTGGAGGTGTGCAGGCTGGAAGAATTACAAAGGTTTCCTTTCAGTTTCATCTGGGATCCTTTCTAGACTCTGCCCCAGTCACCTGCGTCTCTAAGTTCCGTGTAATCTTGAATTGCTCTCTAGAATTCAGGAGCGCTGTGGTCTGGGGCAGAGGGCCAGCCTGCATCTCAGGCATCTGGCCCCAGGCAGGGCCCTTATGATCTCAGGCTGTGGGAGGCTCCTGTTGCCGGGAGGCGGGAGTCCCAGGGCTGGTCTCCTCCTCTCCTCCCCCGCATCTCAGCACCACCGACTGCCCTAATTATAGGTCCTTTCTATTGAAAACTTGAGCTCTTTCCAAGGACTGAGCAGAGTGTCAGCACTTTGGTGGCAACCAGTCACCTGGGTGTCACGCTGGGGCAACAACTGGGAGGGTCACTTGACCTCCGGCTCCGATGGCTGCTAGACAGAGGCCACTTGGTCCCTGAGAAACCGGGACGCTTCTCAGCTGTTGGTCCCCTGGGCAGAGCCCACCACCCTCCGGAACCAAACAGGGTAGAAGGGGGGATTCACAGGTGCCCAGACTGCAGCTGGCTTTGAAGAGATCCCTCCTCTTTAAAAAATGTTACCGAGATGTATTTCATAGCTAGCTGGTAAACAGCCTGGTGATAAGCAGCTCCTCTGGAAGAGAGATTTCCTAACTAACCCTACCTGGGAGTTCTTTCCTTTCATTTCCCATCAGGAACCCTGCAGAAGGGTTTTCTGTATTGCTTGGGAAAGGCTTCCTCCTGGGAAGCCCAGCTTAAAAGAATTGGGAAAACCTGTCCAACAGGTTCATTTATTGACCCAGATCCTCCTGGCTGCTCTGCTGACAGCCTTAGAAAGGACCCTGCAGTGTAATTCTTTGGAGAGGCAGTCACTGTTGCTGAAGGACCTGTTGATACAAGACCCATTCACCCACTCTCCTAACATCTGTCTTCTTCACCCAGCCTTCCAGTCTTGGAAAGCTCTGGTTTGGTTTGGTTCTGCACACAGGTCTCACTAAGTAGCCCACGCTGGCCTTAAACTTAGTGAGTCAGCCTCCGGGACTGGGATTCCAGTTATGCACCATGTCCCCGGCTCTGGAAAAGGTTTTCAAATTCGAACACAAAAGAGATGGGTATCTTTCTTTTAAAAAAATGTTCGTAGGAATTTATTTTTTAAAAAACTCACAAAGATCCTGAAAAATGGCCAAAGAATACATTCGACATTCAATAGTAGAAACGATTGATTAAATGTATGGAAAAAGCAGGCCTGGGGATTTAGCTCAGCACTGTAAGCGCCTGCCTGGCAAGCACAAGATCATGAATTTGATCCCCAGTACAAATGAACAAACAAACAACATATACATACATATATATGGATATATATGGAAAAAGCCTAGCACCCCCCACACTTTTTTTTTTAGTTTGGCCCTTTTAATATGCAAAATAATACAAGTTATAACAACGAGGCACATTTTTACATGGAATTAGAAAGAAAACAGTACAAGTATTGATGTGAAAAATCTTTATGAAGTGAGTCTTTTTCTACATTGCTGTTGACACTGCAAATTGAAGTCAGCCTCGTAGAAAGTACTTGGGAGGTGCCAGGTGTGGTGGCTCACACCTGTAATCCCAGCACTCGGGAGGCTGAAGCAGGAGGATCGTTGCGAGTTGGAGACCAGCCTGGGCTACAAAGTGAGCTCAAGGCCAGCCTGAACTGACTGCATAGCGAGACCCTGTCTCAAAAAGACCAAAAAAAAAGAAGTACTTGGGGTTCGTACCCCTTGCCCCGGTAATCCTGATTATACCAGCCGCATATAGCCAGCATGAGAGCATTGTATGTGTGCCCAGGAGCCCGAGGTGGGAGCAGGAATCCAGAAGCAACCTCAGGACCCAACAGTAGGGGCGCAGGGAGACCACAGGTCCCCCCAAATGTCATCCTCTGCCACTCAATCCTGGCTGTGGGGTAAGGCATTGGGGTTTTGGTTTTGTTTTGGTGGTACTGGGCATGAACCCTGGGCCTTCACACTTAGCTACATCCCAGCCTTTTTTAAAAACCTTTGATTTGGAGACGGGCTCACAAGTTGCCAAGTTGCCCAGGCTGGGCTGCAACTTTTGATTCTCCTGCCTCGGCCCAAGGCAGGCCCGAGCCAGGCCGCCCAGATATAATGTTGGACGCGGTGACAGAACCACACGGCAACTGCAGGCCTGGCCTGGAAATGGGTGGCTGGAGCGTCCTGCACACACACAGGTCCCCGAACAGCACCTGCCTGGCCTGGTCCTCTCTTAACAGCCAACGAGGCTCCTGTCCTCAGGAGCTGCACCTGGCCGGGTGTTTCCCATGTCACCAGTGACCCTGCCAGATGCACAGAGCGGCCACCTGCACTCCCAGCAGACAAGGAAGGTGGCCCAAGGCCTCGTAGCTGGTACGTGGGAGGCTCAGAGGCAGAACCTGGCTCAGACCTCTACAACGTCTGTGCCTTTTTATGATGATATGTTGTCTTTTACCTTTGATTTTCTTTTTTTAAAAAATAGGGGTCTCACGATGCAGGATGGCCTTGAACTCTCAAGTGGCCGGCCTGCCTCAGTGACCCTCCTGACTCAGCTCCCAACTGTTACAATTATAGGTATGACCCACCACATCCAGTCTTGACTTTTTAATTCAAACATAATTTCTGGAGGTGAATGTCAGTAGAAAACTCTTGCCCTGGGTTCGATCCCCAGCACCACACAGACACACATGCACACGCATACACATAAAAATAATAACAATGAACCATCATTTATGTTTAGCTTTCTAGACTTCCCAGATATTACCACTGAGCATGTTAGCTTATTTTACTGCAATTACTTTCTTCTGGAGCCACTGAAGAGTAGCAGGCCCCTCACCTCTAAGCAGTTTCAGATGTATTTCTAGAAGGCAAGCTTAGCCAGGTGTGGTGGCACATGCCTATAATCCCAGCATTCAGGAGGCTGAGGCAGGAGGATCACTATGAGTTCGAGGCCATCCTGGGTTACATAGTGAGTTCAAGACCAGCCTGCACTGCATAGGGAGACCCTGTCTCAAAAAACAAAACAAAAGCCAGGCATGGTGGCTCTTGGCTGTAATCCTAGCACTCAGGAGGCTGAGGCAGGAGGATCCTTGGGAGTTCGAGACCAGCCTGGGCTACAAAGTGAGCTCAAGGTCAGCCTGAACTGCATAGAGAGACCCCGTCTCAAAAAAACCTAAAAACGTAGGAGACAAATTTATAAGGTTGACTTTTTGGGTTGGCACTACACCGCCCTGCCCCCGCGGTGCTATGTTGGGGACAGAACCCAGAACCTCCAGGAACTGTGAAAGTTCTCTACCACGCAGCCCCAACACTGACATTTCCAAAGAGCACCGGCTCCTGGCTTGGTGGACCGTTCTCCAGTCTGCTGCTTTCTCCTTCATGGTCTCAGGTCCTGTCAGGCAGGTCCCAAGTGCTGCTCTCACCGGAGGCCTCTCGGATTTTGTTCCCTTGCTGGTGACCCTCAGGGATCCCTGCCCAGGACCTCACTAGCCCTTTGCCGTGCCCACCAGAGGGAAGGGGTAGAGCTGCAGGACAGGGTCACATGGCTGCCACTGTGGGACAGTGAGCTGTCCCCAGGAAAGCCACCTGCCTCTACAGTCCTCAGCAGCCATCAGCAGCCACCTGCCCCACCCTGAGCGATGCCAGCCAGAGGCCCATGTCCTGTTAGCGGACAGGGGGAGGTGACCACCCTTCTTCCCCAGGTCCCCGGCCTCAGCCCTTGTGTCCTGTGGGCTTGGGGGTGGCTTATGGCGCAGGTCCCTGCAGTCAGGGCTTGTTTGGGGCTCCCAGGAAAAGACCGTCTGACCTCCGGGCCGACCACCAAGCCAGCTCAGGGAGCAGGAAGTGGCGACACAGTGCAAACGGGAAACAGGAACCGAGAGGAAGGTTCTCTGAATCCTGGTGCACAGCTGGGGCTCGGGGCTGTCCCTGCGGTAGCCTGGTGTCCCCTCCAAAACTCCTGCGCCGTGGAGCCACCCTCAGAGCTGTGCTAAGAGCTGACTGGCGCTATTAAGAGTTGACTGGCAATGAGATGTTGTGGCACATGTGTGTAATTCCAGCACTCAGGAGGCTGAGGCAGGAGGGTCACCAGGATTTCCAGGCAGGCATGGGCTACATAGTGAGTTCAAAATAAGAGCTGACTGGGGTACAACCCTGGTAAATGGATTAAGGTAGTAGGCAGAGGGTCAGTTGTGCAGGAGTGGGCTCGGGGTACAAGATGGGTTGGTCCCTGGCCATTCTCTGTCTAGAGTGCCCTGCTACTATCTGCCATGGGTAACTGTCACCAGATGCCACCGCTGCGCTGGGCCTTCCCAACTGGACCCTACGCCAGATGGGCACATGCAGTGGGACACCCATGGCACGAGCCCAGTCCTGGCGTTACACTAGAAGCCAAGGGGCAGAGCTGCCCTGAGCTACGCCAGGCCCAGTGACCGGGACCCAGGCGGCAGGCAGCTCCTCAGAGCCCAGGGTTGAGGACGTGGGCGTTTGGAACGCCACCTGTCCCCGTCCTGCAGCTGTGCTGCAGAATGACCCCGCGGTGGCCCTGCCCAGGGCTGACTCCTGGACTGCCCCCACGTGTGTGTCCCTACACCCTGTCCCCACCCACACTGGACAGCAAGTTCCCATTGTCCCAGGGAATGGCTCCCCACGGCCGGCTGGGCCCCTCCAGAAGGCTGTCACAGGGTGTCCCCCAGCGGGGCCCTCAGACCACCCCCACCCTGCCTGGCCACAGAAAGTCCCCAGGTGCAGGCACAGCCCGAGGCTTCAGTTCCCTTCCCTGAACCCTTTCCACGCAAACCAAAGGGCTCCTGGTTCCAGAAGGCTGCCCCAGTGGAAACCCCACTGAAGCCTGCTCCCACTTCCCTGCCAGAGCTTCCCTGCCTGGAGGGGTGGGCCCCTCAGGTCTTCCCCTCCGAACTGGAACCAGAACCAGAATGGGAACCAGGCTCCTAGGAGTCCCGGAGCAGCCCCTGCCAGGGCCCCCGAGCAGCAGGCTGCCGGAAGAGCCCCCCAGGCCACGGCAGGAGTTCACCCCTCGCTCTGGAGGCTGACGTCCAAGGTCAAGGCGTGGGCAGCGCTGTTTCCTAGGGGCCCTGGCCGGTACCTGGCCTCTTCTCCCTGTGCTGTCACAGGATTATCCCTCCATTGGTGCCTGTATCTTCCTCGGTCCCTGTGAGGACACCAGACTGATTAGACTGGGCCCCTAGCAGTGGACGCATTTTATGTTTTTGTTTTTTGAGACAGAGTTTTGCTATGGAGCCAGGCTGGCCTTGAACTCACACTGTAGTCCAGCATGGCCTTGAACTCCTGGAGATCCTCCTGCCTCAGCCTCCTGAGTGCTGGGACTACAGGATGACAGCTAATGACCCCCCTTTTAATTGAATTACTTCTTAGAAGCCCCAGTCTCCAAATACAGTCACAGTCTCAGGTTCAGAGGGTGAAGGTTTCAACAGATGAATCTTGGGGACACACAGCTCGGAGGGCAGGCACCCAGCTGCAGGGGAAGGCTGGCCTCTGAGAAAAACACTGAGAGTGGGGGGACCTGCTTAGCTGTGGGGCACCAGGCATCCTCCAACCAGGTGCCCCAGCCCTGGTGTCCCCATGGCTTCAACGTCACAGGTTTGGGGAAGAGGACCCACCTGCTCTGACCGCCTAGGGTCCCCTGCAAGGCCCGCCCTCCTGCTGCTTCTCACCCTGTTGCAAGGCAGATTTCAGGGCCTTTGCACATTTGAGGACAGCTCGGGACCCGTCTTGGCGTGGAACTCGGGTCACAGAGGCCCACACAGGCCGTTGTCCCAGACCAGAACTGCCCATTATCCGGGCATCAGGGACCACCCTGGACCACAGGGACTTCTGCCTGGCCCTTTCCACATGGACAGTGAGCCAGTCTGACTGCCCAGGGGGTTGCTGGCTTCCTGTCTGGTCAGCACCGAAGTGTCCGGGTCTAGAAGTGGGAACTGGGCTGCAGGTGTCTTTCCAGCTTAACTCCGCCCCCCCCAGGGGCCCAGGGCACTGTGTGAGCCCGAGGAGGGCACTGTGTGAGCCCGAGGAGGGCACTGTGTGAGCCCGAGGAGGGCACTGTGTGAGCGAGGTCAGACCTCACTGGCCCTGAAAACAACGGATTCATTACCGCAAAGCAGCAGGTGCCCCCTCCCCTGCTGTGTGCCCCAGGTCTCCTGCTGTGACCAGTGGCAGTTTCCCCTCCTCAGGGGCTGGTGGCTTGACACCCAATGCGTACAATGTCACCCCAGGGAGCTGGTGGACAGGACGTGGTCTGTTGCTTGGTCTGGGTGGGAAGCAGAGGTCAGTGGATCTCCCCGATGACCAAATGCCAATCCCAGCTTTGCAGGCTTTGCCTCCATGGTGGACACCGCCCAAGCCCACTGGGCACTCAGTCAATGCAAGGAGCATCAGGGTGGCAATAAAACTGTATTTTAAAACACAGACCTCGGATGGCCTGGTGGTGCACCCCTGTAATCCCAGCACTCACTCGGAGGCTGAGGCAGGAGGATCACCATGAGTTCAAGGCCAACCTGGGCAGCAGAGCGAGACTCTGTCTAAAAGAAATGAACGCTTGCAAGCTTTAAAAAATTTACAGTGTGTAGGCGTGCGCGTGCACACTCATCTCATGTTTTCTGACGAGCCAGACGTGAAACATGCCCGGCCACCCCGTCTGTGTCACAAGCCAGCGGCCCTGGTCCAGCCTGCCCGGCAGGTTGCTGGACCTTCCTCCTCCTCCCCCGCTGCTGCCTCCAGGGCGGCCCTGGCAGGCCTCAGAGCTCAGTGCCTGCACCACGCCCTTGGGTCAGCTGTGCGAAACGCCCTCCTCAGCCTCTCCCCAGAGCACCCTGCAATTCACAGGACATGGTCACTTTGTTGCTTTAGAACTGTGACACTGTGGGTCTGTCACTGTGGACTCAGCATCCTGTCAGGCCCCTCAGGATGGGAAGAACAAAACAGAGTGTGACACTGCCCACTGCCACCAGACACTGCGACCACAGCAGGGGCCCTGGGGTCACCTCCCCCACCCCAACCTACAGGGTCACCTGCAGTGTGGCTGCCACCCCTCACGATTTCCAGAGGGACCCGTGAACCGAGGTGCCCCTGTGCCCAGGCCTGGAGAAGGCCCCGATGGTGACCTGTCAGCAGCCCGGCCACACAGCAGGAGGTGACCTAGCCACAGATCACCCAGATTGACAGCCCCGGAGTGCCACTTGGGTCATCCCGAAACTGCCTCCTCCCTGTCCATGGAAAAACTGTCCCCCACGAAACTGGAGTGGCCTGGGCAATGCTGTCCCAGTCACCCACTACCCAGTGTCACTCACCCGTTCATTGGGCCCCTCTTTTGCCTGTGTACCCCAAACTATCCCAGATGCTGAAGGCCAGAGCCTTCAGCCCGCCCAGCCCTTTCAAAAGCCATGATTTACATCGTCCCAAGACCCTGGGATGGCGTGGTTTTTAAAATGATATGCTATGTGGGGTGGAGGCTGAGGCAGGAGAATTTCCTCTAGTTCAAGGCCAGCGAGGGCTCTGTAGTGAGTTCAAGGCCAGCCTGGACTACATAGTTCGACCCTGTCTTAAAAACCTAAAGTGAATATGAGAATCCTTTCTTACCGTGCATCGGGTCGGCACTAATTCCGTCACCTGACCTGAGGAGCAGTCCTGGGAGGGCTTCTGAGAGCCGGGTCAGTGAGCCTATCGATAATCACGGAAGCAGGAATTGCAGGAGGAAGGAGATGAGTCTGGCAGGTGCCCCAAGTCTCAAATCTGCCTCCGATCCTGGGGTTAGGGGCACCTGGTGTGGCTGCCTGGGGCGGGGAGCGCCCTGCACACACATGGCCGAGGGTTGTGGCTCCTCTGGGGCCTCGGGTCTTTTTTTTTTTTTTTGTCCTTCGGTGCCACCGGGCCCCGGCAGCCCGACCTCAGGGCTCCCCTCTTCTTCCCTCCTCAGCTGGGGCATCCCTCTGACCATCACCGTGGCGGCTGTCACGCTCAACAAGATCGGCTACGACGCCTCCGACGTGTCGGTGGGCTGGTGCTGGGTGGACCTGGAGGCGGAGGACCGGCTGCTGTGGCTGCTGCTGACCGGGAAGCTGTGGGAGCTGCTGGCCTACGTCACGCTGCCCGTGCTCTACCTGCTGGTGCGGCGGCACATCAACCGAGCGGTAGGCGCCGGGGCTGGCCCTCCACTGCCCCCTGCAGACACACAGAGCACTTCGGGAGGAGTCCAGCATGCAGCCGGGGAGGGGTGGGTGCCTCGCAGGCCGCAGTGCAGAGGACTCCAGCTCCCCTCCGCCTTGGGGAATGCGTGGCTTTGCTGGCAGAAAATTGGGGTTTGGGGCAAGGACTGAGGCCAGCTCTGCCCCGTTGGGGCCCTTTAGGGCTCTGTCCCTGAGCCACGCCCTCTCCACAACCATGGGACAAGGACCCTCCTCACGGCCCTCCCTAACCTCAAACACCTGGTCCCTGCACGGTTTTGTTTGTTTTTGGTACTGGGATGGAACTCATCCGCTGTGCCACTAAGCTAAATTCCCCAGCATCGCTTCTTTTTTTTTTCCCCTCTCTTTTTTTTTTTTTTTTTTTTTTTTTTTCTTTTTTCTTTTAAGGCAAGGTCTTTAGTCCGCGCTGGCCTTAAACTCACTATGTAGATCAAGCTGATCTCAAATGCACAGCCTCCTGCCTCAGCCTCCCAAATCCTGGGTCATAGCGCCTACCACCACGACTGGCCTCTGCTCTGACTCAGAAACGCAGCTGATCTGCCCCCCACCCCACACACACCTGCTGCCTCTCTGAGCCCCTTTCCACCACTTGGAGGGTGTTTTCAGAAATAAAAGGAACGAAGTGAGCAGCGAGGTGGGAGTGTAAGGTTGTTCCCTGCCTGGAGCTGGGAGGAGAGCTAAGAATAAATGATGGGTCAGGCGGGCGCTGCATGCCTGTAATCCCAGTACTCAGGAGGCTGAGGCAGGAGGGTCACCAGGCACTCAGAGCCAGCCTGGACTCCATAATGAGTTCAAGGCCAGTTTGTACTGCACAGCAAGACAGTGTCTCAAGGAAGGAAGGAAGAAAAAAAAGGTGACCAGAGTGACTTTCACTACATCGCGTTGAGCCACCACCCGGGACCCCAGGGGAGGCAGAGGCAGGTGCTCCGACTGGGTTCAGCGTCCATACGTCTTTGTTAGGTGCTGCTTTGCCGTTGGTGGAGGCAGAGTCTTGCTGCGTAGACGGGGACGCATGTGTGGGTTGGGAGGTGAAGGCCGGGTGTCCTGTCCTGGACGCCACAGCCCGAGGAGTCTGGGGCACGCGAGGAGGAGGGCGCGGGGAGCGTGAGTCTGAGGTCGCTGTGCGGAGGTGGCCGAGAGGCCCCGGCCCAGGCCCAGGCTCAGGCCACCCGGTCCGTCCGCCCCGCAGCACGAGGCGCTGTCCGAGTACCGGCCCATCTGCGAGGCGCGCCCGCCGCAGCCCTGCGCCTCCGCCGCCGCCGCCGTGGCCGACAAGAAGCTGGTGCTGGTCCCGCTGGTCTTCATCGGCCTGCGCGTGTGGAGCACCGTGCGCTTCGTGCTCACGCTGTGCGCCTCCCCGCTGGTGCGCGCGCCCGCGCTGGTCCTCCTGCACGTAGGTGTCCGTGCGCGCGTCCCTCTGGGTCCCGGGTGGTGGCAGCTGCAGTGCGCTCAGTACCCCGGCCGGCGGGGGGCGTCCGGCAGCCCAGAGGTCCGGCCCCCAGCCTCGGCCCTCCTTCCCCGCAGGGCGTCGGGAACACCTTCCAGGGCGGAGCCAACTGCATCCTGTTCGTCCTGGCCACCCGCGCCGTCCGCAAGCGGCTCTTCGCCCTGTGTCGCCTGTGTCGCTGCTGTCCGCAGCCCTCCGCCCCGAGCCCGGCCGGTCCGCCCAAGCCACCCACGACCTCCCAGACGCGAGACTCGGGACTCCCACGGTGACGCTGTCCACCCGTGAGGGCACAGTGCCGACTCAGCCTCTTCTACCTCTGACAGCCTTGGTGCACTTGGAGTTCACCTGCGCGAGGCCAGTGAGACACTCAGGGAAGCTGGGGACACAGAGTCCCACGGCCACCATGCACTGTTTACAGTTTGTGAGGCCCACACCTGTGCCCCCTGGTCACTAAGTATCAGGGGCCAGGAAAGGGTCCCCTGCCCCAATGTCGAGGAGCAGATTCCCAGCTGCCGGGGAAGAGCCCCTGGGGAGCCCGGCTTCGTTGGCCAGCAGTGCTGGTCATCAGAGGGGGCAGTTCTCTCTGACCAGCATACACAATGTCCCCTGCACCTGCTTGTAATGGCCACCAAGAAGCGCGGCCCAGCTCAGGCCCAGGGTGGGCGTCCTGGGTGCCAGGATTCTGGCTGCCGGTTACAAGTCCTCAGCGCTGGGTTTCAGAGTCCATGGGCTGCCTCCACCTGTGCCATAAACGCAGGTCCCTCAGCTGGCACCAGGCCAGGGGGCGTCGCAGCGATTCCCCAAGAGCAGTGTCTCAGACAGTCGCTTGTTCTCAGCCTGAGCTGAAGATTCAGGGCAGGAGGGCAGGTGGCTCGTCCATGCGCCGGTCTGGTTTCCATAGGAGAGAGGACCACGAAGGGGTCACTGCAGGACCCCAATACCAAATCCCTGAGGTACAAGTTCCTCCTTGGCCTTGGGCTGGGGTGGAGCCGGTGGTAGGGGCTGGCTTAGCCCCACAAGGACCCCACTCCACCACCCCACACCTAATCGAAAAACCTTCCAGGTGGATTTTTAGGGGAATGTGGCAACCTCAATCCTGAAGTGAAGGTTTACATTCAAAAGAAAAACATAGAAAATGGTAGGGGTTTGGTACTGGGGGCAGGCCCCAAGGCACGGTGGATGCAAGGTGAATCCTCCAAGGCTGAGCCACACCCCAGCCTGACAAGAGGTTTTTTTGTACCTGGAATCTAACTCAGGACCTTGCACTTGCCAGGTAGGCTCTGTGCTGCTAAGCTACATTCTGACCCCTAGAAGAGATTTTTTAAAGCACCCATGTCTCTATTTATATTCCGCAGCTCCCCCCAGCAAACCCCCCCCACCCTGTTTCAGAGAACAGACCTGGAACAGGAAGCATAAAGGTTACCTGGGCTCCCCGGGGAAAGTTGTCTCTTCCCGCGGGGGCGGGGTCCGGCAGACACCCCCAAACTGGACTGACGGGTTCCGTTTAAAACGCAGACCCCACTGTGCGATCCTGTTTTGCTCTCAGAGACAATACTCGCTGGAGGAAACATTCACCTCGGTGTCTGGGAGCAGTGGGGCTGCAGTGGACTCTGCTGAGCAGGGTTTGGGGGCCTGAGCCTGACTCTTGACCCCTGACCGCCTGACCCCACAGCGCAACCCTCTGGCTGAGCTGGAAACCGGCACCACCAGCCAGCCGTGCCCGGATCGGCCCGCAGGGGGAGTCCGGGTCCAGGAAACGGCTGCTGCAGCCGCCGGGGCTCAGGCTCCCGAGGTCCCTGGCTGACACAAGGGCTGGGCTTCCCGCCCGGAGTCACGCTCGCGGGCTTTGTGTCACCATCTTCCTTCTTGCCCCCCGCACGTCAGCCTCGTGCCTGTGTCCCAGCCGGTGCCCCGGCCAGCGAGGCCAGCTGGAGCCTCCTTTTCAGACTCCAGGATGAGCCCGGTGAAGTGGTGCACACCTCCAGTCCCAGCACTCCAGAGGCTGAGGCAGGAGGGTCGCCACGAGTTCGAGGCCAGCCTGGGCTGCATAGCGAGACCTCTGTCTCAAAAAAAAATCACAAAACACTGGAAGCCTGGGGTGGAAGTCAGCCTAGAACACCCAGGGGCGCCCCCCACCCAGCCCGGGAGCTTCCTTCTGCATCTGCATCGTTAATGTTTATCCGCGTCTGCTCTGCCAAGCTCTGCCAGCTCTGTTCTGCCGGCCTTCACAGGTGCTACGGCCACAGGGCGCGCTGTTCCTCCGCACTTTCTGAATCCGGATCGGGGAGTCGGTTTCACGTGCCGCTTCCTGGCCCTTGTGCTTGTGTGCGTGCGTGCGGTGTGTTTGGTGTGCATTTTTTTTTTTTTAAATAAAGGTTATTATGTGAGCCTGGGCTGAGCGTTGAAGACCGAAGTCTCCTAATGTCCACAGTGAGAAAATCTATTTTTCCAAATTTCCGGCACAGCGTGAGTTTTTGCACACGCAGAACTGTGAAAAGCCTGCCTGTCTGGGTGGAGCCGAGGCCTTGTTATTCTAAGTTAAATAAATTAACTATTTTTCTTCCGCGTGTGTGGTGAACTGATTGCCACTGGTGAGCAGGTATCAGTCGAGGTGATGTCCGGACTGCAGCAGCCTCCTACGTGGCCGAGACCTGGCACGATGTGTCTGCCCCTCCCCGAGGACGGAGGAACCCTGAGGCCCAGCAGGGTGCACATGTCTCTCATACCAGCACTCTGGGAGGCTGAGGCAGGAAGAGGGGAGATCAAACCCAGGTGGAGCGATTTGGTGACACAATGAGACCGGGTCTCGAAATGAAGAGGGTGTCTGCCCTCCTGGGTGTGCCTGAGTGGGGGATCAGAACACAGATTCCGGGGCCCTGAGCACTAGGAGGACCAGCAGGCTGAGTCCAGAGCCCTCAGAGCTTGCTTGTCCTGGCTGAGGCACACACGGAGGCCGCTGGCGCAGGAGTCTCACTGGAAGGAGTTGCTCCCAGCCCTAGGGCAGCAGAGGGCCGCCCCACCTGTGGCCCCTTCATCTTTACTAAACTCCTCCCTCTTGGAACTTTGCCCCCAGAGCCACCGGACTTTCTGGATTTGTCAAGTCAAAATGATATGGGCTCCCCAAAATAGCAGTTTTCTTTCTCGTGCTTGTGACTGCCCCAGGGCCTTTGCTCAGAGCTTTTTTATTTTGAGAGAGGGTCTTGATAAGTTGCCCAGACTGAATTTGAACTTGCAGTCCTCCTGCTGCCTCAGCCTCTTGAGAGTTGCAAATGCAAATCCCTGATGAATTTTCCCCTTTCTGGGCTCCTGCTGTGTGTGCAGGGCCAGACGCCCTGTGACTGCACAGCCTGGGCCACCTGGAAGCGGGCCCTGCTGGAGAAGGGACAAAGGCCAAGAGTTTCTCGGGGGAGAGTGAGGAACAGCGTGACCACCAGGGGGCCTCAGAGTGCCAGGGGAGACCACAGGGTATTAGTTCATTCATTTGATGCTGGGGCAGCAGGGCAGAGCCAGGGCTTCTCACCAAGTTCCACCACTGAGCATCACCCGTAGTTTTTAAAGATGCCAATGTGTTAAAGGTTTAGGGGCTGGCAGTGTAGCTCAGTGGTCCAGGGCTTGCCTAGCACATGCAAAGAAGGGGGAAAGGGAGGGAGGGAGAGGACGGGAGGAAGAGGAAGCAGGGAGAGAAGGAAGGACATCAAGGTGGCCATGGACAAATTCAGCCCCTGACGGGGAGCAGCAGCCCGGCAGCCTGGCCTGCGGCCCGGGGGCTCCAGCTTGGCCGCCACGCAGGATCCAGGCTAGAGGGCGGATCCCGCTGCCCTCTGGGTCTCTGTGTCCCCTGCAGCACACACTAAGGAGCCCGCAGTGACACCCGCACTCCGGCAGTGCCTGGGACACAGGACGTCCTTTGTCTTGGCCATGAGAGGGACTTGGCCCACATGGGCGCCAGGCACAGCCTCTGGGGTCGCCGTCAGCCCTAGGATCCAGAGCTTCAGCTCCATTTCTCCACAGGGCAGGCTCGAGGTAAATCTGGAGGGTGGCCAGTGGCTGCTGGGGGGATCGTGGGCCCCCCAGCAGCAGAAATCAGTTTGTAAACATGTTCAGAGCCAGGCGTGGTGTTGCACACCTGTAATCCCAGCACTTGGAAGGCTGAGGCAGGAGGATCATTGCAAGTTTGAGACCACCATGGGCTACAAAGTGAGCTCAAGGCCAGCCTGAGCTGTATAGTGAGACCTTGTCTCAGAAAGACAAAATATTTGGAAAATATCCACATAGGATTACATTCTTCAGTCTGTTTTGTTTTTTAAGTCTTTATTTACATATTTATTTTCACAGCACTGGGGTGGAACGTGCTAGGAAGGTGCTCTACCACTGAGCTACACCCCAGCCTATGATCTGTGTTCAAATTCTTGATTGTTTGGAGATAGTCTCCATAGAAATCCTTGGCTGGCCTTGAGTTTACTGTAAGCTCCTGCCTCTGCCTCCTGAGTGCTGGGATTACAGGCAAGAGCCACCACAATAGGCTTGATTGCTTTATTTTTTATTTTTTGAGAGACAGGCTCACCATGTTGCCCAGGCTGTTCCAGTCTGAGGTCCGAGGCGGTGGCTGCCTGCAGGCAGGGGTAGATCCCAGAGAGGCTCTCTGCCCACGAGTGCAAAGCTGCTTCTGCCCTGCCAGTGCCTTGAGCGGCCAGTGGAGCCCTGGGACGCCTCTGCAGGTGGGGGTGGGGTTACCCAGGGTAAAGCCATCAGGCAGCACCAGCCAGGTTGAGTGAAGAACCTTGGGGACAGGCCCAAGTGCAGAATCAGCAGGTGGGGGGCCAAGAGTCCACACCCCAGCAGGTGGCAGGTGGATGCCAGGGCCCGCCTGCCGGGCCAGCACTACCACAGAGCTCCACCCAACCTGGGCCTTGCGGGTTAACATGGTCCTGACTGTGTAAGTCTTAGGTTGTATGTTCTCTGACAATTTTTTTTTTTTTTTTTTTTTTTTTTTTTGTTCCAGGGATCAAACTCACAGCCTTGCACTTGCCAGGTGAGCGCTTGTGCCATTGAGCGACATCCTTGGCCCCACAATTTCGAAGTAATGATGTTTAAAAACAAAGGGATCTGCTGAGCATGGGGATCAACATGACTATAATTCCTGGGCTCTGGGAGGCTGAGGCAGGAGGATCTTAAATTCTAGCCCAGTCTCTGCCATGGAGTGACTTAGCAAGACACCGCCTCCAAATAAAAAAAAACAAGAAAGGGCTGGGGATGTAGCTCAGTGCAGGGGCCCTGCATTCAACCCTCAGGACTGGTGAAACCAAAGCAGACCAAACCAAACCAGAACAGAGGGCCCAGCCAGGTCAGGCACAATGAGCAGAAGCTGCTGGGCACCGAGGTGCCCTGTGCACCCTCATGGCTGTGTTTTGGCCCACGGCTCCCCAGGAACCCTTGCCCCCTTCCTGTGCTCCTCCTGAACTCACTGATAGGCGGGGTCAAACTCTGCTCTTGGGAAGGGGAAAACAAGATGACTCGCCAGGTGTGTCCCAGCGTGGTCAGAGCCCGCCTGCCTCGGGCACACTCAGCAGACGCGTGGACGGACGAGAGCCCCATGGGGGCAGGGCCCGAGAACTCGGGCATGGCCCGGGCAGCTGCCTGCCCCCCGCAGAAGCTCTGGGGCAGCGGCACCCGGTGGTGTGGGTGGGCACCGGGCTCCTGAGGGGCTGTGCGTGCCCCTCCCCTCCTTGAGTGCCAAGCAGGGCCCAGGCGATGCCCTGTCCATGACCCTGATAATAACGGCCCTTATCAAATGGAAGCGGCCCACACCTTCCTGGCCCTGCCCTCCCTGCCCGCTGAGCCAGCCACCAACACTGGGCACGTGCAGGGCTTTGTGCTTGGATGGGGACCACGCGTCCTAAAGGAAACGACTCCTGCACGTGTCACGGGGAAGGACGCCTTGGGGGAAGGCTGGTGGATCCTGCGCAGCTTTCTAATCTGAATACAAACAAAAGCAGTTGCAGCAGTGATGAAATCCGCTGAGGCGCGGTAGCGACACGTGGAGTCCCAGTGCTAAGGAGGCTGAGGCAGGAGGAGCTCCCCGAATTCAAGACCAATCTGCACGAATTACACAGCAAGATGCTACCTCAAAAACAAACAAACAGAGCCGGGCGTGGTGGCTCACGCCTGTAATCCCAGCACTCGGGAGGCTGAGGCAGGAGGATCATTGCAAGTTGAGACCAGCCTGGGCTACAAAGTGAGCTCAAGGCCAGCCTGAACTGCATGGAGACCCTGTCTCAAACAGACAGAAAATAAAAAATAAAAACAAACAAACAAGCCTCTAAACAGAAACATAACAAAACAGAGGCCCGAGTAAAACCCCACAGGCACCTGCATGAGCAGCGTGGGGCTGGTCTCTGGAGTCTCAGGCAAGAAGGTCCCAAGGCCACTGGCTCCCAGGATGCAGCTACGTCTCCAGATCCATGGTCCGCAGGGCAGGGCCTGGGTGCCCCTCAGGGCAGAGCTGTGCCTCGAGTGTGCCAACCCTAAGCTTGGGCCCCGAGGGCTCTGCACTCAGTGCCATCTCCAGGGTCTCCTCTGTGCCCCCACAGGGCCAAGGACCCTGCAGACCCCGGGCACCAGAGACCTCACCACACACAGGCAGCGCCCAGCACCCAGCAGAGCCAGCGGCCCAACCTGTACAACCAGAGGCTTCGCTGTTGGGGCTCCCGGTGTCTGTCCCCGCAGACTTTCCGGTTCTGTGTTCATGAAGGCTGAGGCAGGAGATTTGCAAGTTCAAGCCCAGCCAGGGCAACTCACAAGAAAAGTCGTCTAATAAGTAAGAGGCTGAGGTGGGCTCGCTGTGACAGCCCTGATTCAGCCCCAGGACACAAGGAGAGAAGGAGGAGGAGGAGGGGAAATGAAAGCAGAGCTGGACGTCCTGTCCTACGGAGTCCGGGCAGGAGGCAGCCATGGGGGGTGCTGGGGGCCAGGGCTGGCTCCTGGTCCCCACCCTCCACACAGCAGGACGGAGCCCCACCGGGAAGTGACACTTTGTGTCTCTGGCCACCAAATGTCCACTGAGGCCAGGTCGAGGGTGAGCCTCAGTCCCACCCAAGGAGGACAGGGCAGATGGATTTGGGGACAGGGGACCATGGAGGCTTCTGGAAAATTCCAGAAGCTTCCTGGAGAGGCATGGCCAGCCGTGACCTGGACATGGATGTCATCGCCCATCCTAGCCTTGCCCAGGGATTCGTCAGCTGTGTCGTGGGCCGAATCTACCCTCTCCTGTCCCAGGGAGAGAGACTGTGTTTTGCTCTGGTATTCCCGGGAAATGCTCTCCCTCTCCCCCACGCAGCCCATCACCACCTTCTGCTGATTTTTGCATCCTAAATCTCAATCTCTCTCTCACATTGCACTTAGTTGTCGGAAACGAGGACAAGCACCCATGTGGCCCGCGGAGGGGAGGGCCCTGGCTGGCTCCCGTGCCTCACCCCAGGGCCAAGTCCCTGGTGCACCTTCCACAGCCAGTCAGTGTCACAGTAGGCAGGACAGAGCTCCCAGCACCTCGGAAGGGCCCGAAACGGGCCTCTTTCTTCTTAAACCCAGCCAGGGGCTCTTATCAGGGGGTTTTGAGCACAAGGCAGTTTTTTCTTTCCTGTTTCTTCCACACTCAGCGATCTACGATTAACAAACAGTCCAGGAGGTCGTGGGTCGCATTTCTGGTTCGTTCTTTCTTTCTTTCTTTCTTTCTTTCTTTCTTTCTTTCTTTCTCTCTTTGAGACAGGGTCTCACCCCGTGTTTCAGGCTGGCCTCCAACTCCCAGCGACCCTCCTGCTTCAGCCTCCCAAAGCAAGGGTCCTTCTAAACCCCAAAGCGAGAGGAGGCTGGAGGGGCCGCGCCGCCCATGCTCTGTCCAGCAGCAGGGCCGAGCTGGAGGGTCGGGGACTCAAGGAAAGCCGGGGGTCACTCAAGGAGCCGCCCCTCTGGGAGGCCGGTGAGGACGCAGGGCCCTTGCCCGGCAGACGGGGGCGGGGACCCGCAGCACCCCACCCCGCCCCGCAACATCACCGTCCCGCCCCGCGCTCGCTCAGAGCCTTGGTGGGTGAGTTCCCCCAGTCCCTGGCCACAGGAGCCAGGTACTGGGGGGCGGTCCCTGTGCGCTGGGGTGGGGCCCAGCGGGGCCCAGCCCTCCCCTCCCAGGTCCTCGCTGGGGAAGTCGTGCAGGCCGAGGCTTGAAGGGGCTCAAGGAGTGTGAGAGGCGAGGCTAGAAGCCAGCCTGGACTTTGTTTGTTTGTTTTTAATTTTGAGACAGGGTTTCACTAAATCCCAGAGTTGCCCAGGGCCTTGAATTTGTGATCCTCCTGCCTCAGCCTCCCAGAATATGGGGATGACAGGTGTGCGCCCCCAGCTCAGGCTCTGACCTGCTCTTTGTTTGCACAGCCCGTGTTGTTCCTTCCCTTCACCTCTGGGGTAACCCTGCCCCTGTGATAGTGGTTTCCCTCTGCAGAATTTTCCAGATGTTGTGAAGTCCTCAGAAGCCACTGGTCTCGCCACAGTTTAGCCTGAGATGCTCGCGTTAGGGCTGGGACAGGAGAAGACAGGCCGCCAGTGACCCTGGTGCACGGCTGTGCACTGCGTCCTCCTCATGGTCCCTGAGGAGGGCCCTGGGTCTCTGTCCTGAGCCAGGAGCCAGTGCCCTGTGCGGAGTAGACACCAGCAGTGGCCTTGTCAGCGCTGGCCCAGAGCCACGAAAATGGCACAGGCAGCACGTCTCGGACACAGAGATGGGACGGGGGCTTTGCTCTGGTTTCAGCCACTTGGCCCTCGGTGGCTGGGGCAGAAGAGCATGCGTCCTGTACGGGGCTGGCAGTGCCCTGGCGGAGGGTGGACGGCCCCAGACGTCTGTAGTGGCCGAGGCTCCCTGCCCTGCTGGTAAAGGATGGCGGGAAGCTCCCACCTCCCAAAGTGCTGAGCACAGGAAATCCCATCTCGGGCCTCCGGCTTCCTCCTGCAGGAAAAGGACCCGTCAACGTGCAGCACTTTAATAGGAAAATCAGCGTGAACTACCAGCCAGGTGTGGTGGCCTCCACCTGTCACCTCAGCTGTCTGGGGGGGGCTGAGGCAGGAGGGTTTCACATTTGAGGGCAGCCAAAGCAACTTAGCAACTTAGCACCCTGTTTCAAAAGAAAACAGAAAGAAAGAAAGTAAAATTAATGGGGCTGGGATGTAGCTCGGTGCAGAGGTCCAGGGTTCAAGTCTCAGTATTGCAAAAAAGAAAATAAACTCATCCCAAAATCTCTTCCACGGGTCTGGGGGTCACAGCTCGGTGTGCAAGCAGGTGCTAGCGTGCCTGAGGCCCCGAGTTCAGTTCCAAAGAAAGAGGGTCACACTTACCTGACTCGGCACTGGAGGGGGTGGGGAAGCCTTCCGGCAGGCCCAGCCCCTGCAGACCACGCAGCTGCTGCCTGAAAGCCCTGAGGTCGCCGCCCACCCCCACCCCCCATCCCCCACTCCCCCACCCGGGCCCGCCCGTCCCTGCCCTCCGGCGGATGCCTGGTTTAAAAGCAGAAGTGGATCCCAGGCAGCGAGGGCGCCGAAGGGGTTATTCTGACCGGCCTGGCTATAAATACCGGACTGAGCCCGGTGGCCAAAGTGCACTGCTGTGATTCTCCGTGCAGTGCGTGCTGCCCTGGGAGCCGGCCCCGCCTGCACAGCAACGATGGAGCAGCCCAGCGACCCGAAGAAGAGGAAAGGGGTGAGTACCCCACCTCCCCCGCCGCCTGGGACCCCTGGGTGCCGCGGGGCCGGCTCGGGGCCGGGGAGGACCCGAGCACCGGGCTGGCGCGGAGGTGAGGTGTCCAGCCAGCCGAGGCTTTGAGAATCTTTCTACCCGAGTGAACAGGGCCGGGGAAGCAGGGCTGTGGTGCTCGCTGCCGTCCCAGCAGTTGGGGAGGTTGAGGCAGGAGGATCACAAGTTCAAGGCCAGCCTAAGTGAGGTAGTGAGAACCTATCTCCAGAAAAATGAATTTAATGACACTCAAGAAGTTGCATTTTTGGGGTTGGGGATTTAGCTCAGCGGCATAATGCACCTGCCTTGCAAGCAGGCAGTCGTGAGTTCGATCCCCAGTACCGATAAAAAGGAAAAAGTCCAAAAAGAGTTGCATTTTATTCTTCACAATAGCATCTGCTTAGAGGGTATCTATGTTTTGTTTTGTGTTTTGTTGTTTTTGAGACAGCATCTTGCTCTTAGTCCAGGCTGGCCTGGAACTCACTATGTAGCCCCAGGCTGGGCTCCGACTCACAGCCACCCTCCTGCCTCAGCCTCCTTAAACAATGGGATGAAAGGCGTGTGCCAACTCGGTCTGCTTGGAGCACATTTGTGCAAGACTTGCTGGCACAAGTGGGGGTGGGGAGTGTCATCCTGGGAACCAAGGCGGGGCTGAGCTGGAAGCACCCCCAGCTCACTCTTCCCACCCTTGTGCGAGCCGTTTAACTCTTTGGTGCCTCGTCTTTCCTGCCTGGAGAATGGGAATGATCTAGTGCAGGGCGGGTACAGAGCCCAGCGCTGAACCTGCCCATGGGTGGTCGAAGTCTCAGCACTGAGGGTAGTTCCCTGTGGCAGGGCTGTCCTGAGAGACACAGGGTGCTCAGTGGGGCCTCAGTCCCCGGCCACCAGCTCTCCCTGTGCCTTCTCCCACCTGGGACACGCTAATAATGTCCCCTAAAGGGCAGGAAATGCCTCATCTTTGGAATCTGAGTTTGGAGTTCACCCAGAAACTTTGTGGATTTCACAAAAAAGTAGTGTTGCCGGGTGTGGGGCCAGATGCCTGTCACCTCAGCACTTGGGAGGCTGAGGCAGGAGGGTCCCCGGGAGCCCAAGGTCAGGCTGGACTACGTAGCGAGACTTTGTCTCAAAAAACCAAGACCAGAAAGAAAGAATCAGACTGATACAGGAGAATGAGACCTAGTATGTCCACAAGTCTGTTCTCTAACCCTAACCCTAAGGAACAACGGAGGGTTAGAGCAGAATACATTTATGGAGAGAAGGAAAGCCTCTGTCTGAGAGTGCCAAGACTCTGTGTTTTCCAGGGACTTCTATATAGCAAAAGCATGAGATTAGATGGGTCAAAGATGGGGAAAAATAAGGTGGGACAGAGATGTGGTCAGCCAATAATATTAACAGCCCAGGTAAAGCTGATTAACTTGGGGACGCACTGGAAGTGAGCCTTGCAGAAAGCCGGCATTCTTAGAGAGTGGCGCCTTTTCCCTAGGGGCTGGGTGGCGCCTCCTGGCTTCCTAAAGTGATCCAGACTTAATCCCTAAGTGTTACACTTAAGGGTGGGGCTGCATTTCTTTTGCCTTTTTGTCTTGAGATCTGGCCCACAGCGAGAGGTGTGTGTCCCCTCCCAGGTCACCAGGCATCTGGTCCTCTGTGCCGGAGGCTTCCTCGAGGGCCGAGCCCTGGCTGGCTGCCTGTAATATTTCTGTCTCAGCTGCCTTGACAAGACGAATCTAGTGTTAACACCTATTTGATAGAAAAGGCACAGGACCCGGGTCAGGGGGCTCCCGGTCAGCTCTGGATTTCAGGGACAGGAGAGGACAGTGCCTGCCTGGGGGCCTGTGCTGGAGAGCGGCAAGGACAACAGTGGCCCTGTGCAAAAGGCCAGGCTGGGCCAGAGGAAGCTGAGAAGGGTCTAGCAGAGGTGGGGGGTGGGGAGACGCCCTCAGTGGCCTGCCCAGCTCTGTGTCCCTCAGGCCAAGGCTGTGCATGGGCTGACTCCCAGACCTGGGGGAATAATGAAACCAGAGGAGAAGAAAGCTAGAGCTAAGTGTTGTACATTTCAGATTGTTGAGCAAACTGTCCCTTCCCTCCCTGCTCCCCACAAAATGCTGTGGAAGGTGAGAAGCTGTGTTTTGTGGGGTATCTCCACTGCCAGCTGGCCTCCTCCCCACCGGTCCATCCTGGCATGCCTGTGCCCCCAGCACTTGGGAGGCTGAGGCAGGAGGATCTCTGAGTTCCCAGCCAGCCTGGGCTCCAGAGTGAGTTCAAGGCCAGCCTGAGCTACACAAAGACCTGGTCTCAATAACAACAAAAAGTAGGCTTGCATAATCTCACTTGTTTGTGGGATCTAAAAAAAGCCGAACTCATAGAAGCAGAACAGAGCTGCAGAGTTGCCAGGGCCTGCAGAGAGGAAGAGTCCGGGAGGGGGCAAAGTTTCCGCCTGCGGCTAGACGGGTCAGTCCTGTCTGAGGCGCCCAGGATGTGGTTAACGCCAACGCCTCCAGCTCTTGACATCTGCAGGCACACGCCTGTCATCCCAGCACTCGGGAGGCTGAGACGGGAGGATGGCTGTGAGTTCAAGCTTGTTTCCAAATGGGAAAAAATCCCGTTTCCCTCTGACCTGTGTGGCTTCCCCTCTGTCTCGGGGACAGAGTGTACTTCACAGACGTCTGGGTCCCAGTGTTAGCCTTTCCTCAGCTAGGCTGGACCAGGGAAAACCCGCACTGCAGCCCAGACTCGGGCAGGCGGCCGTCACCATGTGACGCTTTCATTGTCTCTGACAAGCCCAGGTTCACACGCAGACCCTGCCCCCCAGTTTCCTGCCCTGTGCCCCCACCCCGGGCAGCCACCCCTGGGCTTTCTGTCCCTGGCCTGGACGTGACAGCCAAGACAAGGAGCCGCTGCCCGCCTCCTCCACCCCGAGCTGTGCTCTCCGGCGTCATCCACTCTGCATGTGCTGGCCTTCATGTCTTCTGTTCTCATTCCTTAATTCTTTTCTTATGTGGTACCAGGAGTTGAACCCAGAACATTCACACGGAGCTACCTCTCCAGCCTTTTAAAAGATTTCCTGTCCCCCGACAGGGTCTTACTGGTTGGGCTCTAATTTGAGCCCAACAAGTTGGGCTCTAATTTGAGATCGTCCTGCCTCAGCCTCGCAGAGTACAGAGCTTATGGGCCACTGCACCCCGAACCACTGTGTTTTTGTGGCCACTGTGGGCACATGCCATGTCGTATTTGTCCCCGCATCAGCTGGCAGCCACCTGGCCAGCTCTTACCTGTTGACCTTAGTGCTGCTATAAAGACCTGTGTTCAGGTTTTGCTTGGCCACACAGCCTGCGGCTTCCAAGGCAGAATTGTGGGGTCCCACCATGTCCCTCTCTGTGTCTCACTTTGAGGGGCTGCAGCCCTTTCCAGGCTGGCCCTGATTCACATTCCCCTCATGGGGTGCCAGGCCCTTTCCCTGCTCTGCAGAGTCCTCAGAGCCTGCAGTCACTCAGGTTGGCTTTAATCTCATTACGTAGCCCAGGATGGCCTCAGACTCTCTAGTACTGGGATGACAGGCGTGCACCACCGTGCCCCGCTGGCCTGTCCACATCTGTTCTGCACCCGGCAGCTTGGGCAGCCCCTTCCTGGGGTGCCGAGCCCAGGAAGTGAGGGCCCCGCTCTTCCATGCTCCACTTGTGCCCCCTTTCCAACCTCTATTCCAAGTTCGGGGTTCCCAGGTCCCTGCTGTGGAACACCCTCTTTCCCTTCCTAGACTCCTCTTGTGAGTTTTCCTTGCAACGCTCAGATGGCTGTAGTTTGATTTTGGTGAATTCCGTGGCTTTCGGCATCACAACCGTTTAGCTCCCAGCCCAGGACGGAGTGGGAGGCACACAGCCTTTGACAGCCGTGGGGGAGCTGTGGCTCTCGGGGCTGCAGGACAGGCCCAATTCCTGCTGGATGCCGTGGGGAGTGTCTCTGTGGTCTGCACCCTCACTCTGGAGCTGGGCCGGGGGACCACGCTGCTGGCTTCCAGCTGAGGGCCCTGGTCACCACCACCGGTGACCAGGAGGTAGGAGGTGCCCTGGCTCGGGGAAGGAAGCAGTGGGTTTGTCTTTGCTGCCACGGTCCCAGGAAGGGAATCCAGAGGACTTGGGTCAAGGGTTTCTTTCCTCTTCTCCCCTCCTCCCCTTTCCAGACAAGCAGAGTGGAGGGCTTAGAACTGTGCTGGATGCATGAGCGAGTGGACGAGTGAATGGATGGGTGGAAGGATGGATGGACGGACGGATGCCCAGAGCCGGATGGGTGGGCAGTGCTGAGCCCCGCATCCTGCTGTGTGGTGCGCAGAGGCGCCCAGACCTGACCTTCCCCATGTCCCCTGCCCCCTCTTCTGCCCCCAGCGGCCCCGGGGTATATGGAGCTGGGGGGGCTTCTCCATGGGGTGCCCCCCTTCCTAACCAGAAATGACCTCCCGCTGGGTGAGGGCTGCTGTTGGTGCAGAGCCGCTAAGGAACTGGCCGTTCTTCTAGCATTTGGTGGAACAGGAGCATCTCAGTCCGAGAAGGGTTAAGTTTCACCTGTGTTCTTTCCATTCTTCGTCTCTTTTCCTTCCTCCCTAATTTTTGTGGTATTTATTGGGCTTGAACCCGTGCTAGACAGAGGCTCCACCACTGGCCCACACCCTGGCCCTCTGGGTTGCAGAGTTTGAGATGGGCCTGTGGACACCGAACCGTCCAACTGCCGGGGTTCCAGTCACGTGCCACTGTGTCCTTTCTCTCTCTCTCCCCCCCCTTCTTTGTCTCCCTTTCTTTCAGCATACAAGGATTTATTGAAGACGTTTAAAGTACACAATCAAAAGAGGAGAGGGTAAGGCAGGAGGATTTGGTTGAAGTTCAAGGCTACACAGTAAGACTGTCTCCAAAAGACAAGGGGACAAGAAAAGGAAACAACAGAGTACAGGCAGGGAACCGGGGATGTTTATCTTTTTTTTGTCTTTTTGAGACAGGGTCTCTATACAGTTCTGGCTGGCCTTGAGCTCACTTTGTAGCCCAGGCTGGTCTCAACTTGCAATGATCCTCCTGCCTCAGCCTCCCGAGGGCTGGGATTACAGGCGTGAGCAGCTTCGCCAGGCTGTTCCTTTATCTTAAAATTGGGTGTCAGCCCGCTAATTTATGGACTTGAAGTGCCCTTACGGGATTTTAGGTGCAGCCGGCTTAGGAGAGAAGCACAGACAACCCAGGGAATGTGGGTGGCCAGTCCTAACTGTCCAGGACTTGTGGGCTTCTTAAAAGTACAAATTTGTTCCTTTGTCTCTTTTCTGTCTGTCTTTACAGTGTCTTGCTATGTAGTTCAAGTTGGCCTCAAACCTCAGCAACCCTCCTGCCTCAGCCTCCAGAGTAGGGTGTTACAGGCCCTTCGGCCCAGCCTAGCAATCCCTTATTCTTAAAGGGCGTAACAGGCCCAGGGCTACTGCTGGTCCCGCCCAGTCAGAGGTTAGAGTCCCTCCTGACTGGTTGTCAGAGACAAAGGTGGGCTTTGCGTCCTGTTCTTTAATTTTTATTGTGATGTTTACGGGCACAATGATCACGCCCAGCCTGAGGAGCAGGGCCCGTGCAAGGCACATCACTGACCACTGTGTCCAATGCTTCTCTTCTCTCCTGGCTGGGTTGCCAAGGGAAAAGGTCAGCAATGGTCTGAGGCAGCTCCTGGAACCATCCCTACCTGCGGCTCAGGCTGCAGGCTCACCGGGTCCCTTCACAGAAGGAGAATTCCTGGTTAAAGTGCGCTCGGGAGGCTGAGGCAGGAGGATCACTGAGTTCCAGGCCAGCCTGGGCTACAGAGTGAGACCCAGTCAAAAAAAAAAATCTGTCTCCAAAGTGAACAAAAGCTTGGGTGCGGTGAGGTGGCGCCCAGCTTGGGGGCTCAGATGGACATACACAGGCTGGAATGACCACAGTGCGGTGACTGGTGCATCCCTTACACGGCCAGCACGCTGGTGTGTGTGATTTTGGCCCTGGTTTGGGGGGGGTTGTAGCTGTTTTACACTTGCCTGGAGCGAGCTCAGCTCCGTCCTCAGTGGGCACCACCAGGCAGGGCCGACCTGTGTCCCCGTGTCCTGTCCCTGCGTACCTCTCCCGTGAGGTCCCCATCCGGCAGGGGCAGCAAGGCCTTGGGTCACAGAAGACAGGGGGGGACAGCCGCGGCTGTGTGTCCCTGGTGAAGGGGGACCCTGGCGGAGGGGTCAGGCCGAGGGGCCCAGGCCCCCTCAACCGGTGTCAGTGATGGCTCTGGGGACCCCGGAGAGGCAGGGACCTCAGCAGAGCTCAAAAGGGTACCCCGCATCCCAGAGCAGAGTGCACCCCCAGTGTCCCCTCCTGGGGAAGCATGGAGTGGCCTCCTGTCCCAGGGGGCCCCCGGTCACGGGTCGCGTTTAAAGGCCCCTGGAAATCCTCACTAGAGCATCTTCAGTGTGGCTTCCGCCTGACGGGACAGAAGTCCAAGGGCCCAGGGGGCCGGGGAGCTAATTGATAGTGTTAATAATTAAGACTCTTTCTCCTGCCTTTTCTTTTTCCTTTTTTGAGACGGGGTCTCCCTGTATAGTTCAGGGAGCTCACTCTAGCCCAGGCTGGTCTGGAACTCACAGCGATCCTCCTGCCTCAGCCTCCAGAGTGCTGGGATTACAGGAGTGCATTGCCATGCCTGGCTTACATTCTTTTTTCTGTTTCTTTTCTTTATTGTTGTGGTTCTTGTAGTGTGAGAGGACACGGGATCTCAGTGCTTAGTCCAGGCCAGATTTGAGCTTGCAGTACAGCCAGGCGGGGCCCAGCCCTGGGTCCCCTGCCCTGTGAGAGCTGGGGTTACCGGCATCAAGGATTTCCTATCTCCCTCTCTGACTTCAGAGTTTGTCTTAGACAGCACCTGAGCACGGGTGTGTCCGTGGCAGGGGCATCATGGGAGTTCATCCACACTCTCGAGAGGAGTGCTGGATTTGGGTTCTCCCTGGCCTGGTGGGTCTCATGGCGGGGGCTGCACACGCCACAGGGGCTTGGGGACCTTTGGGCCATCACAGGTACGAAGTGGGTGCCCCAATGTCCAAAGAGCAGAGACCTAGAGTGCTGTCCACACCCACCAGGCCCAGGACCGGCCCATCGCAGAGGACTATCAGGCCCAAGGCTCCTGAGAGCCGCAGTGGTCTCCCTGGGCGGGTGGGAGAGTGTCCAGGGGAGGGAGTGTTCCAAGCCCACAGACCTGATATTCAGGATGAAGTAGCTCCTGATGGCCCTGAGGCGGGAGCCCCTGCACCCCGGCTGCTCCCCCACCTGCACCCCTCCCCCTGCAGGGCCTGACCCTCGTGCTGTCCCTGGCCACCCTGATTGCCGCCTTCGGCTCGTCTTTCCAGTATGGGTACAACGTGTCTGCACTCAACTCGCCTTCTGAGGTAGGTCCGGCCTCAGGGCGGGGCCGCGGGACCCTGGGGGTGTATGGCACAGATCTGGGGGGACACAGGAGCCAGGCTCTGCTGCCCACGCGGAGACCCCACTGTCACGTCTATCACTGTGGCGTGGCAGCAGCGTCCCACATCCCGGAGCCAGTGCCACCTGGGGATCCCGTGTCCCAGGTCCTCCCTCTTCCTGATGTCCTCGTTTGTGTGCCCGGGAACCACATGCACACGCACACGCACATGCATGCACCCAGTGCCCCCCAACTTCCTTCTGCAAAGCCTGAGGGGCTGACGCCGCCACCCCTGTGCTCTGGTCCCCAGCTCATGAAGCAGTTTTACAACGAGACCCACCACAGCCGCACCGGCGAGTTCCTGGAGTCGGTCTCCCTCACTCTGCTGTGGTCGGTGACGGTGTCCATGTTCCCGTTCGGGGGCTTCCTTGGATCCCTCCTGGTCGGGCCGTTGGTGAATAAACTGGGCAGGTAAGGGGAGGCTGTCTGGGCTCCGGGATCCCCAGACCACCGCCTTAGGGCTTCCCCTTTGTCTTCTGAGGTTCCGTTGGTTAGTTTTGCAGCCCGGGGGTTTGAACCCAGGACCCCACACATGCTAGGCAAGCCCTTGACCCCCCACCTCCATCTCCAGCCCTTTCTGCTGATTTATTGTTTAATTTTTATTTTGAGGCAGAGTCTCGATCCTTTCTCAGGCTGGCCCCCCTACTTCGGCCTCCTGACTACTAGGGTGAGGTGTGCACGCCACACCCAGCTGTGCAGCAGGTTTTGTGTTTAGGCCTAACCCTGAAATCCTCACTGCAACCAGGGTGGTTTTTTTCTTTCTGTCTAGAGCTTTAGAAGGAAATCAGACCCTGACAATGTATCACTGACAATGAGCCAGGTCTCGGAGGTGGCTGGGGACCCCCATTTTCTGAGGAAATGGGAGAAACCTGGGACACGCTTGGCTCGGTTAGGGGGGCACAGTCCTCCCCAAACCCAAAACCAGGGCCCCCAGCACCAAAGGGCGTGGCCAGGGAACCCATCTCGGCCCTGGCTGTACCCCAGCCCTCCTGAGATCTGTCATGCAAAGGGCTTCCCCTCCCCTTGGACCGGAACCTCTGCAGCTGAGCTGTAGCTGAATCCCTGCAGACCCCAGCGGGGGACTCTGATTCTAAGTCACCCCTCTCCTGTGAGCTGTCAGAGGGCCCCTGTGAAGTCGCCTCCTCTGGGCTGTGTCCTTGGGTCTCCCGCTGAATGGAATCTGCCTCTGTGCGACTTAGGACTTTTATGGCTGTGCTGACACAGCCTGTGCTTTGTTTCTCCTAATTCCTCACCCAGTTTGAGGTCCAGGGTTATGCTGAGGTCGTCACACATTGGCTTCAGGTTTTAAAAGCCCAGTAACCCTATATTAATAAGGAGCCTTTCCCCTGCATGGCCCGATGCCCTGGCTGTGTTCCTGTGCCGAGAACCTTCCCTCCCAGGCTGTGCCTGCAACCTCTGCCAGTCTCTGGGCCCAGAGAGTGGTCCCTGGGGCCCCAGCACGGTGCAGACACTGGGGAGTGTTTGTTGAATGAGTGAATGAGTGAATAAATCTGTCTCTAAACCACCCCCTCTGCCCTTTGCTCCACAGAAAAGGGGCCCTGCTCTTCAACAACATATTTTCCATTGTGCCAGCGATCTTGATGGGGTGCAGCAAGGTGGCCAAGACCTTCGAGCTCATCATAGTGTCCAGACTCCTGGTGGGCATCTGCGCAGGTGGGCAGTGTCATGTGGCCTCGAGGTTTGGTGGGTTGGGGGACAAGCGCCCAGGGTCCAGCGAGCCCAGGTTCTCTGGCATAGGCAGATTCAAGGTCCTCCCCACTCCTCCTTCCTGGAGTCTAGCTTGAGCCCGAGTGGGGTCCCCACGGGCGGGAGTAGGCACCCCCACTGGGGCACTCCCTACCATGCCGAGGGCCTTGTTCATGCTGGGAGCTGCGCCCCTGCCCCAGGAGCTGCGTTTCTGTGTGTGTTTTTTGAGACTGGGTCTCACTATGCGATTCTGGCTGTCTCCTCCTGCCTCAGCCTCCCCTGTGCTGAGATCCCATGCATGTGCCACCACACTCAGCCAAGAAGCTGTTGTTTGAAAAACCAGACCCAGAATCTGGAGTTCAGAAGGGTCTGTCTGTCTGTCCAGTCCTTTATTTCAGTTTCGGGATTTCCCAAAGCACAGGTCAGGACCAGTTAGTGGCTGGTGGCGAGACTCCTGGGCTCCTGAGATTTTGCCTGAGCTATTTGTCAGGAATGTCAGGAAGTGCGGGATAACCGGTGGGGTGTAGAGGCCATTGCTGCAGTTGTGCTCTGAACCTTTGAGAAAGGGTCTAATGCCAGACGCCATCCCACCACCAGCCCTGGGCTTGCCCCTGGCTGGTAACCATGGCAACCTCTCAAGCCTGGGGCAGCAGGAAGCCCGAGGTCTCCATGGGTGCCGGCTCTCGTCCTCCTGTGCCTGTGGCTGCAGAGGGGCCGAGTTCCAGGCCAGCCTGGGCTCCACGGTCTCTCTGGTACCCAACTGTGCCCCAGGGGACTCCAGGGAGGACAGGCACTCCCAGACCTGGCTTGATTTCTCTTTGCTTACAGTCTAAGGGACTAAGAATTAAAAGTGGTACCTGCCTAGAATCCTAGTGCTGGGGAGGCTGAGGCAGGAGGATCACCAAGGCCAGCTGAGGCCAGTTTGAGGCCAGCTGGGGGCTGCACAGTGAGTTCCAGGCAAGAAGGCCAAACTGAACTATATCGTGAGGACCTGCCTCAAAAAATAAGAGATATTTTTCATTGACTTTTTGAAAGTGCTTGCCCAGTGACTCTGAGGACTTCCGCCTACCCACTGACCTTTACGAACTGTGTCCCCCCAGGTGTGTCTTCCAATGTGGTCCCCATGTACTTAGGGGAGCTGGCCCCCAAACACCTGCGGGGAGCCCTTGGGGTGGTACCCCAGCTGTTCATCACCGTTGGCATCCTGGTGGCGCAGCTGGTCGGTCTCCGGAATGCCCTGGCAAATGACCAAGGTGAGTTGGGGACACCGGACACCCCCAGGACTCCGTCCTGCCCTGGGCTGGTCTTTTTTTTCTAGTGGCCTGAGTGTCCTGGAGCTCACACCACAATATTGGGGTGCTGTTTGGCACACCCCAGGCCTTGAATGAGGGGTGGTGACAGACTGATGGGCCAAGTGGGCAGAGGACCAACTTCTCTCAAGCTGCCCACTCAGTGTCTGCCCTACGGGGACTGGGCACAGTGGTGACAGCCACCTGTGTGTGCAGCACTGGGCTCAGGGCTCCCCCACTGGTGCCCCCTGGATTCTGTGAGTGTCCCATTTCACATACCATAAAGGGGAGGCTAAGGCAGGATGACCTGGCCCTGCAGGACCCAGACTCTGCCAGAACCCAGGCCTGGCCCACAGGAAGGGCACAGCAATCTGCGGCTGGCATTGCTTCTGTGTCTCCTGCCTCAGACCTCTGAAAGGGACACCAGCATTGCCCTGGCCAGAGCCCTGCCCCCTATAGCCTTTGCTCCTCGAGAAAGACAGCGTGGGGAGGCACCTGCCACCTTCATGCCCGTTTGCCAATGCAGAGTCCAAAACTGTACACTGTCCAGGGTCTAAACCCAGCAGCTTCTGCCTGGGCCACCCTGAGGATCCCAGCCACCCTGGGCGGGACCCAGACCTGTGAACGCCCCTTGCTTGCAGGCTGGCCCATCCTGCTGGGGCTGACCGGGGTCCCCGCGGCGCTGCAGCTGCTGCTGCTGCCCCTCTTCCCCGAGAGCCCCAGGTACCTGCTCATTCAGAAGCGGGATGAAGACGCTGCCAGGAAAGGTACCGCCGGCCGGGGAGGTGTTGGCTGGCCCCGCGTCCCCGCACCCCGTGATCCCCGGCCGACGCCCTTGCTCACTCGTTCCTCCAGCGCTGCAGAGGCTGCGTGGCTGGGACGACGTGGCCGAGGACATAGAGGAGATCCGGCAGGAGGACCAGGCGGAGAAGGTGGCCGGCTCCATGTCCGTATGGGCACTGTTCGGCCTGCGTGCCCTGCGCTGGCAGCTAATCTCCATCGTGGTCCTCATGGGTGGCCAGCAGCTGTCCGGAGTGAACGCGGTACGGGGCCGCCCGCGGTGTCCCCGTGTGTGGGACAGTCCCCTCCCCAGCCCCGAGCCTTCCGCCAGCCCTGGCCACTGCTTTTCCAGATCTACTACTATGCAGACCAGATCTACCTGAGCGCCGGGGTCAAGGCCAATGACGTCCAGTACGTGACGGTCGGGACAGGAGCCGTCAATGTATTCATGACCATCTGCACTGTGAGTGCCTGCCCAGCAGGGCCCAGGCTCTGAGGTGGCCACAGCCTGCGAGGACCCTCATGGCCCAGCCTCCCAGCCCTGCATCCAGTGGGGAGCACCCACAGTCCCCCAGACACGGTGGCCCTGGCCCTGTCCTTCGGGGTGGCTCTGCTCCAACATCAGCACCAGGCTGTGAAGCTCCACCAGGCCACGAAGGCCAGGAGTGGTTGGGCCCTGGGTGTGGGAGTCCCGGGGCCCCGAGCAGGGAGGACCCCCCCCCCAGACCATCTGGACAGCTATGTGCACAGCTGGGGAATCCTTAGTTCATGGCCACAGGGTTCGAGGGCGCTGAGTGCATTCAAGGGGGAGCAGCTGGAGCCTCAGAACACTGTGCGGTTTGTGCATGAGTGTGCTTGATGTGGAGCCAGGCCGAGCACTGTGGGCCCTGCGGGCCTGGGCTCTGGCTCTGGAGCCTCACGCGCCCCCGCCGGGTCTTCCGCTCCTCCCCCAGGTGTTCGTGGTGGAGTTCTGGGGCCGGCGCCGGCTGCTGCTCCTCGGCTTCTCCACCTGCTTCTTGGCCTGCGTGGTGCTCACGGTGGCCCTGGTGCTGCAGGTGAGGAGTGGCAGGAGCCGAGGGGTCCTATCTTTGAGGGGACCCAGGCCATCCTCACCATACAGGAAGGACAGGGCACAAAAAGGAACCTAGTGTAGCAAATGTGGCACAGCTGCCGTCTGTCCACTCCCTGCCCTCGGCCACCTGTCAGCTGACTCCTCAGGGCTGGCGGAGGTGACCCATGAGTGGAAACAGGCAGCAGGCCCTGCTCGTAGAACAGCAGCTGGCCATCGGGAGACCAAGTCTCCTGAGGTCCCCACCCCCGATGGCCTCTGTTTTGTTTTGGTTTTTAAGACGGGGCCTTGCTGTGTAGTTCAGGCCAACCTGGGACTCATGATGATCCTCCTGCCTCAGCCACCACCCCTGGCTTCCACCTTGTCTCTCTTTGCCGGGTGCTAACAGCTCCTCCCCACCTCCAACCCGCAGGACCAGCTGACCTGGATGCCCTACATCAGCATCGCCTGCATCATCATCTACGTCATAGGACATGCCGTCGGGCCCAGTGCGTGACCGGGAGCTGGCCTTGGGGTCGTGGTGGCCCACGCATCATGACAGTGGCTCTGTCCCTCTCCCTCTTGCTCTGGGGTCGGGGGAGCTGAATTAGTGCAAACAGGGAATCCGCCATGTAGACCAGAACCTGCTGGCTAAGAGATGGGCAGGGTGACCGGGATATCAGCCCCTGCGCCAGACTGAGGCCCCCACCGTGCTGCACGTCCCTCAGCCGCTTCAGCCCTGCCCCGTCCCTGAAGTGCAGAGCCAGAGGACCCAGTCTGGCTGCCTGCAGGGAGGTCACACCCGTCCCCTCTCTCCCCATGCCCAGGTCCCATCCCCGCCCTGCTCATCACTGAGGTCTTCCTGCAGTCCTCGCGGCCGGCCGCCTACATGGTCGGGGGCAGCGTGCACTGGCTGTCCAACTTCACCGTGGGCCTCGTCTTCCCATTCATCCAGGTGAGTGGGGGCCGGCTGCCCGCGTGGTCGCCGCTGTCCCAGGCAGCACAGCACGCTCACCAGCCCGCTCCGCCCTGGCCTGCAGGAGGGGCTCGGCGCCTACAGTTTCATCATCTTTGCGGTCATCTGCTTGCTCACCACCATCTACATCGCCCTGATCATCCCGGAAACCAAGAACAAGACCTTCATTGAGATCAACCAGACCTTCGCCAAGATGAACAAGGTGTCCGCCATCCCCAGCGAGAGCCAGGAGATGGCCGAACTCCCGTCGTCCACCTCGATGTAGTGGAGCCCAGGAAGGAGCCGGGTTCCCCAGGATTCACTTCCCAGCTTCCCGTAGTCTGCACCATCCAGACTGGAGGGGGTGCAGCCAGACTGAAGGGGGTGCAGGCTGCAGGGCCAGCTGCTCTGCCCAGCGGGGACTGTGGCAGGCTCTGTGCTTCCCTGGGGCCCAGCGTCCCCTCAGACTGGCCAGCTACCAGCCTTGAGTCCAGGAACGGCCATTGTCACCCCTGTGGGAAACAGGATGGGGCAGCTGGGGACAAATTTCCTAACCAGCAGGGCTCCCACAGGGCCAGGAGGAGGAATTCTATTTGCCAGTGAAATGGCCCTTCTTTATGGCCTCCGTGGACCTCCTGGGCCCTAACTTTTGTGCAGAGCTGAATTCAGGCTTCCGATCCGAACCCCGCCTTCCAGAAACTCCTGTCTGGGAAAGTGGGGCGTCCAGAGTATGGCACAGAGAGACCTGGGGACTGGTCCCTGGGAGATAGTGACTGAGCCAAGTGGAAAGGAGCTGCATCCATACATTCAATAAAAGGGATCTGACCACTTGGGCCGAGATGCACAGGGGCTGTGTGAGGGGCGGGGGCGGGAGGCCGAGGGGAGCGTGTAGGGCTGGAAGCCATCACCTGCGGAGTCAGGGGCACAGGTGTCACTGGGGATGGTGAACATCAAGGGGCCTTGTGGTGACCCCAGGGTGGGGAGGAGACGGCCCCCACCTCAGCATGGCAGAGGCCAGAGGAAAGGGGCCGACCGAGTGTGGCAGTGGGGTGTGGGAAGAGGGCATGCACAGCCCGGTGTGGTGGCACACATCTGTCAACCCAGCACTCAGGAGGCTGAGGCAGGAGAGGCGCCATGAGTTAGAGGCCAGCACAGACTATGTAGTGAGGTCTTGTCTCAAAAAACAATTTTAAAAGGGGTGAGAAGAGCAGAGAGAACACCAGGAGACAGTAGAGAAACTCAGATGTCTGGGGCAGGGTGTCACGGCTTCTGTGCAGAGGTTAGGGTGGCCCAGGCCAGCATGGCTGGGACGGGGCTCCCACGCTGAGCAGTGCTGAGGTCTCATTCCTGGGCTGGGGACCACAACCACTGCATTTCACTCAGCTTCCTGGGGGCACCCAGGCCACGGGACACACTCAGGAGACCCCAGCATCCCACTGAGCCATCCCTGAGTTCAGACCCGGGGTCCACCTCATCAGCTGAGCGCCGTGGGCAGATTGCTGAGATCTCTGCCTAAGCTGAAAATGGACCTAAGACGCCTCCCAGGGCCATTATGGAAATGGACTGAGCTTATGTGCTGCTAGTGCTTAGGTGGGTGCTGTGTATTAAGTACTCTCAGCCATCTGTAGGTACTTTGCACCAAGCTTTTATCTCAAAGACAAAGCCACAAGTAAAATACAGAAAATGACCTCAGCCAAATATAGCAGGAGGACAGACAGCAGTGTGTAGGTCAGGACAGAGAGGCTGTGGGCACCAAATCAGGGAACCGCAGGTGGGCTGGGAATGCATAGGGGTGGGCAGGAAGCACTCAGAGTGAGGACCTGACCTCAGGGAGCTAGGAATGTAACAGGCAGCAAACACCACTGTGTACCGAGCAGTGGCTCCATAGACAGGACCACGCGTGAGCAGGTGATCTAGGCAGGGGGACCCTCCAGCCGGGGGCCTGGCCAGGGAGGACAGTGTAGAAGGACACCTCAGCCCCTGTCTCACTGCTGAGCCTGTGAGACACACTCCTTTCCACCTTTGTCATTGTAACTCCTGCCTCTGGCCCTGGGGACGCCAGGACCCGCACCACATCCTGCAGGTGGTTCGCAATGGGATCCCTCACCTCTGCAGGTGCAGGAGCGAGTCCCCTAGGAGACCCTTCTGGGGCCCGTGGCATGGGTCTGACCGCGTGAGGCTCCCTGCAGCTGGAGGACCCAGGGCTCCGCGCTGCACCCGTAGCTCTCATCTGCACTGGTCTCGAAGCTGGTGGCCTGGCTGGCACCTGGAAACTGGCATGAGGATGGGCAGAGCAGATGCAGGGACTGGAAGGTCATGGCTTCTCCATTGCCTTCACTGGCGTGTGGACTCCAGAAAGGCAGGGGACACATAATGTCCATGCAGGGCACGGAACATGGTGCTGTGGCCCAGCCCAGAGAACACAGGCCCGGCTGGTCCTGAGGGACTCACAGTCGAGGTCTTCTAGTGACCAGCGCAGAGCTCACTGGTTGGCAGAGCTTCGGCCATGCAAAGGCGCCTGAACCTGATCCCGGGAAGCTGGGCGCTCCAGGTGTGAGCAGAGCACAGGGCAGAGTCCCCACCCACCTGCTGACCTGCTGACCTGCTGACCTTGCTTAGCCTCTGAGATCTGCCTCAACCAGCCCCCTCGGGGTGGCATGGCCAAAACTGTGATCAAAGTATAGGGTGGATGTTTACATTTTTAAAACACTTCATCAAATTTTATTTATGCATCATGATGGACACGTGGGTTGTTTCCATGTTTCCCCACGTGCCAGTGTCCCCAAGGTTTGACCAGATATGCTGTGGCCAAGCACCCTCCTGTGGGGAGGCAGGTTGTAGAAACACCCTTTTGGGGGCCAGGGATTTAGCTCAGCGGTGCAAGGGCACGGGCAGGCAGGTGAGCTGGTGAGTTTGAGCCCCAGTACCAAAAATAAAACCCCGCCATGTCCTGATCGCCTGATATCCAGATCCAGTGCAGCGTGACTTCCGGTCACCAAGGGGAAGTGTTCAGAGCTCATTCAGGGCATGGAAGTGGCCACGCCAGTGCAGCCAGACACTCGGGAAAGTGGACTCCGGAGCTGCCTCAGTCAGCAGCAGGAGTGTTGGATCAGTCTCTGAGCCGGATGGGTGGCAGCTCCAGTTCAGCCAGCCTTGAATTCACTGTGCAGCGCAGGCTGGTCTGAGCTCCCTTCAATCCTGCCTCAGCCTCCCCAGTGCTGGGACCACGGCTGCCCACCACCACCCCTGGCTTAAAATTTTTAAACGTTCACCACATGTTTTGCTCACAGCTTAAGATTTTCATGCATCCTGAGTCTTCAACCATGTTCCGATCCATTTTCCAGTAGGGATGATTGGAACAGGAGGCATCTTTGCTCAGTAACTCATTGACTTTTAATGTTCATAGCCGTTTTCCTTCCTGTAACAAAATGCCAGAGCTAGCAACCGAAACAAGAGAAGACACGGGGTTGCAGTCCCTGGCAGTGGATCCCGATGCTCTGAGGCCTGTGCAGGGCCAGCCCTGCAGGGGCAGCACCAGACTGATGCAGCCCATTCACCTTCGAAAAGAAAGGGAGAGGCCAGTGTCCCCCGCCCCTTCCCACGCACACCCCAGGGGCCCAGAACCTCCCACTGGGCTACCAACTCCCAGGCCCTCCCAGCACCAAAGCTTTTTTTGTTTTTTTTTTCTTTGTCTTCATTTTTATCGGTACCGGGGATCGAACTCACGACTGCCTGCTTGCAAGGCAGGCGCTTATGCTGCTGAACTAAATCCCCAGCCCCTTTTTGTCTTTTTTGAGACGGGGTCTCAAAAAGCCAGGGTCTCACTATACAGTTCAAGCTGGCCTTGAGCTCACTTTGTGTCCCAGGCTGGTCTCAAACTTGCACGGATCTTCCCACCTCAGCCTCCCGAGTACTGGGGTTACATGTGTGAGCCACCATGCCCGGCTAGCACCCGGGCCCCTGGGGAACATCACAGAGCCAAACCACAGCCACATATGGTGTAATTAGAAATATAAAAGTTTTGTTCTTTAAAAAAATGTTTCAAAGCCAGGCATGGTGTCCCAAGCCTCTAATCCCAACACTCGGGAGGCTGAGGCAGAAAGATCACAAGTTCAAGTCCTGCCTGAGAAATTGAGGGAGACAGTGTCTCAAAATAAAAACTACAGGGGGCTGAGTCCGTAGTTCAGGGGCGGAGCAATCTTAAATTCAAGGCCAGCATCAGACACACACACATACAGTATTTTATTTTTCCTTAATCCGGGATGAACAGAGAGTCCCAGCGCATCTGAGGAAGCCTGTATACAGCACAAGGGAAGCCCCCGGTCCAGGCCAGGTCCACCAGCGCTGGAGCTCCCCACTTCTGGGACCAACAGCAGCAACTGTGGAGCTGCCAGTCGGGTGCAAAGATAAAACTCACGCTGTGTGTGAATGGCAGTGGGGAAACGCTGCCTGTATCTTATCAGCCTGGGGGAGCTGGCACGGTCCAGAGGGCAAGCAGGCAGGGAGACCGAGCAGGGCTGGCAGGCGCTGAGCCCGGCCCAGGCATTAGACACGGGGAGCTCCAGCAGGATGGTGGAGGACGGCAGGACGGGGACCCCTGGGGCCACCCTGCCCAGGGAGGGGGTAAGCACCCACCTGGGAGGCCCGGCCTTCCTGGCCCCCTTCTGCCCCACTGGGGTCCTGCAGGGTGCAGGCGGGATCAGTTCTACGCATCGGGGCCATGCCTGCCCAGAGGCCCACAGAGGAGCGGCCACTGCAGAGGAGGTTCAGGGAGACCAAGGGCACTGAATATGTGCCCCTCGCCTTCCTGGCCCCCACAGGGTCACAGGGATGTGTCCCCTAAAGGAATCCCCATCTGTCCCCCTCTCTCTGGCTGGCCCTGGGCTCAGGCTGTGGGAGTCCTGCAGGGTGCAGTGGGTTGGGCGGCAGTGCCAGTGGAGAGCTGGCCTTGGGGACCCTCTGGGAGGCGCCCACAGACCTGGACCTCAACCTCTGTCCCTGAGCCCCTCGGGGTTTCAGGACTTCCATGGAAACCTGCCCCGGATCCCTCAGGACAGCGTAGGGACCAGGGCTCTCTGCCTGTACCAGTCCCTCTGTGGCGATAGAGCCGGGCCCTTCCCAAGCCACCTCCTGTCCCCCCACTGACAAGGACCCTGGCATTGCTGGTTTCTGTCCATCATCTGGCACCCTGCCCCAGGGCACTGCCATTGCTTGGGGTTCCCCATCTATGTGTTCACTTTGTGGCCCCCTCACTGGGGAGGCGACTGCAGGGACAGCGCATGGCTGGCCTGGTCTCTGAAGCACCTGCACTTCCTATGTCACCTCAGGGCCTTAGCACAGGCTGGGAATACTCAAATGGGTTCATGAGGAGGGACAGAGTGCCGAGGAGCTCAGAAGTGGGCTCAAGCCCCCTGGTGGCCTGGCTCAGGCCCTTCCCTCCCTTCTCCCCTGGGCTGACTGCGTCCCATCTGGGATGGCAAGAGGTGGAGGCCAGGGTACCCTGCAGAGCCCCCACCCTGCTCTCCCCTCCACAGCAGCTCACACTCACCCTGGTGCTGGCAACGCTGAGCTCCTCCCTGGGCTCCGGCTTCCAGTACGGCTACAACATCGCTGTGGTCAACACGCCGCACCAGGTGGGCACAGAGGGCAACGGCTGGGGGCAGGTGGGATACTCTCTTCTCCAGGTACCTATGGCAGAGGCCAGGGGACAGGGACTCACTGCCTGGCACTTTGGGGTTCAAGCCTCACATCCTCCTCCAAGCTCAGCAACCTGTTGATGGTGGAGAGAAGGGGTCCAGGGTGCAGCCCTGAGGGCATTGGGGTGGAGCCTGGGGTGAGGGTAAGCAAAGAGAGAGGTCTTGCTGAGGGCCGCAGTCCCTAAGAAAAGTGTCCCAGTGAGGACTAGCTGGAGGGCACAAGTGTCCTTTATGACAGCAGGAGAGGCAAGCTTGATGGAGATCCAGAGAGAACGGGAAGAGCCAGCTGGTGACTCTCACCTGTAATCCTGGCCCCCAGGAGGCTGAGGCAGGAAGATTGCTACAAGTTTGAGGCCAGCCTGGCCTGCCCAGTGAGACCCAGTCTCAATCAAAAAGAGGAGAGGAGAGGAAGACCCAGAGCAGAGACATATTTTTGAAGGGTGTCACTTTCCAGGAAAGCCGACCAATGAAACCTCAAGGAGGGGGCGGGGCGTTCTGTACACTGATGGAGGATGGGCAGACGGGGGAAGACCAACCACTCGGACAGAGGGCCCAGGTGCAGGAAAGAGGCCCCTGAAGCCACGGAGGGACAGGAGCCCGCATCTGGGCAGAGCAGGTGGGGTCACCAGTCACCAGGATGTGTGAGACCTGCAGGACTTTTTAAAATCAGCAGCCAGGTGTGGTGGTTCACCCCTGTACCCCAGCACCCTGGAAGGCTGAGGCAGACAGACTGCAAGTGTGAGCCCACCTGGGGGACTTAGCGACTTAGTGAGACTCTGCTTCAAAAGCCAATAAATAAGCCAAGCATCGTGGCGCATGCCTATAATCCTGGCACTTGGGAGGCTGAAGCAGGAGGGTTGCCATGAGTTCGAGTCCAGTTTGAACTACGTAGTGAGTTCAAAATCACCCTGGACTACACAGCAAGACCCTGTCTCACAAACAAAAAAATAAACAAGGACTGAGGTTGCAGCTCTGTGGGGAGGCCCTGGATTCCATTCCTGATACAGTGGAAACAAAAATGGGAGGTACCCAGAATCCCAGCTACTCAAGAGGCTGAGGCAGGAGGGTGCTGAGACAAGGCCAGTCTAGAGAGATCCTGTCTCAAAAAGAATCAGTGTGTCTTGGGGCTGGGGATTTAGCTCAGGGCATAAGCACCTGCCTTGAAAGCAGGCAGTCGTGAGTTCGATCCCTGGTACCGATAAAAACGAAAAAAAAAAAAAGCCAAAAAAAAAAAACAAAAAGAATCAGTGTGGTTCACTTACACATAATGCTTTGTAGGAGGGACCCTAACACCGTTCCTGGCACGCATTACACACCTATGCTAACACGCGTGCACCACCATGTGTGCACAGGAGTTGTGTGTGTCTGCCCACTCAAACTCTGTCCTGGCTGGAACACCCCTTGACTGTGCATGAGGTCAGCTTTGCTTGGTGGTGCTGGAGGCTGAACCCAGAGCTTCTTGCAGGATGGGGGGAGGGGGAGAGTGTACGCCCCCGGGTGGTGGGTGGTGCCCCCCTGGGACATCAGTTCTGAATCAAGCAATGTGCCCCCCAGCTCTCAAACCACAGAGCCCAGATTTCCTCTGGAGCCTATATGCTTTCCAGAACTCACAGCTTCGAAAAATTATCCCCAAAGTCCCACAGTTGGGCTGGGCATGGTGGCATAAGCCTCTAATCCCAGCACTCAGGAGGCTGCAGCAGGAGGATCTTGTGAGTTCAAGACCAGCCTGGGCTACAAAGTGAGCTCAGGCCAGTCTGAACTGCATAGTGAGACCCGGTCTCGAAAAGACAAAATAATAATTTTTTTTAAATACTCAAAAAAAAAAAAAGTTGCACAGTTAGTATGAACATTTCCCATGACACCTCTCGCAGAGTAACTTCTGAAAGGGAATTTTTATAACAAAGGTTTGTTTTTTACTATGTATTTGTTTTTGGCATTGGGGTTTGAATCCAGGGCCTTTGAGCTGAGCTACACCCCCATCCCCACCCCCTCTTCGAGATAAGCTGAATTGCTGAATTGCCAGGCTGAACTTTGAATCCTTCTGCCTCAGCCTCCCAGGCTCCTGGGGCTACAGGCACAGCGGGGCAAGGACGAATTTTTGTGATTTTTTTGTGCAACTGGTTTCCCACCTCCTTTGTCACAGAGCAGATTACTCAGCCCTGGGGAGCCCACAAAGACCTGCATCCCATGGTTTGCAAAGAAACATTCCTATGTGATGACTATGCCACTATCTCCCTTGAGTCTCCTAAGAGTCCAGGCTGTAGATGGGGCCATGCTTTACAGGTCTTGAAGTCATTTTATAACCAAACCTACTTCGAGCGCTACGGAGTGCCCCTGGATGGGAACACGCTGCTGCTGCTGTGGTCCTGCACGGTGTCCATGTTCCCCCTGGGCGGCCTGCTGGGATCCCTTGGGGTTGGCCTGCTGGTGGATCGGTGTGGCAGGTAAATCCGACTGTCAGCGAAGCCAAATCTCTGGGCAATACAGCTTCAAGGGGGCCCTGACAGTTCCCAGCGTGCTGTAGACATCCTGACCCCCGGGGTCCCCCTGGATCACCCTCCCAGGCAATGGCATGAGAACAGCATCCCTCCGTCACCGGCAGAGCAGAGTCCTCACTGCACTTAGCAAGGGCCTGCCTGCCCAGCCCTGGGCACAGCTGGTCCCAAAGGTCTTTGACGGGGTCACCCCGAGTGCAGGGACCGGCCAGCCAGCAGTGGGGGCAGCCTGCTCTGAGCTGGAACTCTGAGCTCGGGTCAGGAGGGGTCAGACACGTGTCTGCTCTCCAACCTGCGTTGCAAACGCTGCCCGGATCTTTGCACTTTGCGTGCTGCACCTGCCGGAGCTGGGGAGGCAGGTGGAACCTGCTCAGGGGAGCAGGAAGTTGGTTCTGTTTCCTAAGCAGCTCCTGGAACCCCACTGAGCACCAGAGGGACAGAGCCCAGCCCCTCCCGGGCCCGCACCATGCTCTGGCCTGGCCCTGTCTTGCAGAAAGGGAGCCCTGCTGATCAACAGCATCTTGGCCATCATCCCCGCCATCCTGATGGGTGTCAGCGGCGTGGCCCGGGCGTTCGAGCTGATTATCGTCTCACGGGTGCTGGTGGGAGTCTGCGCAGGTACCCAGGGTCACAGAGGCCCCCACCTGCCACAGCACCCCGGGATGCCCAGGGCTCTGAGATGCCTCCGTGGCTGGCAGGCGTGGCCGGGGTCCCCAGTGTCCCTGTCTGCAGATTTCCCCTCCTCCTCCTCCTCAATCTGTCCCAGGGCCTTGCAAACCTCTTGCTCTCCAGCCCCTTCCCTTCCTTTAACAAAATCTTCTCTTCAGAAACATTTTTACAGCAGCTAGGGATTTAGCTCAGTGGCATAAGCGCCTGCCTGGCAAGTACAAGGTCATGAGTTGGATCCCTGGTACCACAAAAAAAAAAAAAAAAAAAAGAAACACTTTACGCACAGAAAACCCATAGGGTTTTACCAGGCATCGCTCGAGAATTTGGGTCTTGGTCAGCAGGCGAGCAGTTACTTCAGGGTTTCTTCTATTTAAAAAACAAACAAAACAAAAATTGCTATCCAGTTATATATACCATGGTGCCATAATCCCAGCACTCTGGAGGCTGGGGCAGGAGGATCATTGTGAATTTGAGGCCAGCTGGGCTGCATAGTGAGCACAAGGCCAGGCAGAACTACACAGTAAGTTGCTGTCCCAAAAACAAACAAACAAAAAGCTCTACCAGGTACCCATGCTTTAGAAATAGCAGGAAATAAGCCAAAGCAGTAACCCTAAGGCCCTCCTACGGCTAAGTCCTGGCGGACGACTGCCTGTCACCGATGGCCCAGGCTGGTCCCTAGGAAGGAAAGGCACATTCTCTTCCCACCCTGGCATGTCCCTATGGGGAGTTTGGTACAAGTCCAGCCTGAAAGATCAAGGACAGCTGGTTCTGCTCAGTCACGGAGAGGCTGACATCCGGAGCAATGGGGGGGCCGAGGAATCGCACTGAATTCGTGGGTTCTGGGGTTCTGCAGGGCTGGGGACAGCCCTTGTCCAGCCTTCATCTCCTTCCTCTGAGCCAGGCGTGGCCTTCAATGCCCTCCCCATGTACCTGGGAGAGCTGGCCCCCAAGGAGCTACGCGGCGCACTGGGTTCCATGGTCGAGGTGTCTGTCATCTTCGGAATCTTCCTGGCACAGATCCTCAGCCTCCGGGCCATCCTGGGCAATGCCACAGGTACCTCGGGCCAGGGAGGTCACCGTGGGGGGAGCTGGGATGGGGAGACAGGGGGACACAGGACCCCAGCCCTCGGTATCAGGCTGAGTCACAGGGGCTGGAGCTGCATGAGCAGCTTGGGGACACAGTGGCCTTGGCGTCCCCTCAGTGATCTGGAAAACACCAGCTGGCTTAGCTGCTCCGGGAGCCATGGCATGGCAGGGGGACCTGGTGTGGGGGCAGTAGGGGCAGCCACCAGGGCCACGACGTGGGCACAGGGGCAGCATCTTCCAGGGCTCTGGTTCTCTAGGTGAGGCAGGAGCAGGATGTTGTCTGAAGACAGGTCAAGGGTCCCGGGGGCGGGACAGGAGGAGACTGAGGAGGCCCAGGTAGGGCACAGCCACAGGTCCGCACCTAAGCTCAGGAACCTGGCCCGGGTCCACACGTGGCCTGGATCCCCCTCCCAGGCCCATATTCTCGACCCCTAGCTGTGCCGGGAAGAAGCAGCCAAGCCAGTGACCACGGAGCCAGCGTGGTCACTCTCCTGGCTCGGCCGCGGGGAGGACCTGGCACCTGGCCACGAGCCCAGCGCCCTCCCCACCCCGCCCGGTCTCAAGGCCTCTCCTGCGTCCCCCAGGCTGGCCCGTCCTCCTGGCTGTGACAGGGGTCCCTGCGATCCTGGAGCTGCTGTCTCTGCCCTTCTTCCCCGAGAGCCCCCGATACACCCTGATCCAGAAAGGAGATGAAGAGGCCACGAGGCGAGGTACTGATCCTGACCTCAGCCCTAACCCTAATCCCACCCGACCCTAGCCTCTTCCCTCTGGGGCCTCTCCTCCCACCCAGCCCACACCCCCAATACCTCTCCCAGCCCAGTGGGGTGATGCAGTCCTGTCATCCCAGCACTCTGGGAGGCTGAGGCAGGAGGATCTCAAATTCGAGCCCAACCTGGGCAGCTTAGTAAGCCCCTGATTCAAAAACTAAACAGGGCTGGAGGTGCGCTCAGTGCGGCGGGTTGGGTTCCATCGCAGCCCCAGTCAGGGTGCGCAGTGCAGGCGGGGCACAGCAGGCTGGGGAGCGCGTGGCCGGACCCAGACAGCCTGCACCGCCCCCCACCACCTCCACCCCACCACCCCCCGCCCCCTGCAGCTCTGCGCAGGCTGAGACGCGGCGACGTGGAGGCGGAGCTGCAGGAGATGCACGCGGAGGAGCAGGCGGAGCGCGCCGTGGGCCCCGCGTCCCTGCGCCGCCTGGTGGCCCAGCGACCGCTGCGCTGGCAGCTTGTGTCGGTCGTCGTGCTCATGGCCGGCCAGCAGCTGTCGGGGATTAGCGCAGTGCGTGCCCGGGCCCCGGGCGGCGGGATGTGCGCCCCGGGAGGGACACGCGGGGGCCTCTGCATGGAAGCAGACCCCGATGCACGCCGGGCTTCACGGTGCCAACCTAATCCCAGCTACTCGGGAGGCTGAGGCAGGAGCATGCTGAGGGCGGGGGGCTGGCCAGCTTAGCCAGGGCTGTTGCCCTGATGTGGCTCCAGTTTGGGGGCCTCCTGCCTCAGCCTCCCAGAGCCCTGGAGATTCCCACTCTGGGGATGCAGACTTGAGGCTCAGGGTTACAGAGCCCTGGCCCTGAGTTCCCCGTGTTCTAACCCCACCACCACCCACTGCCTCCTCCGTGTCCCACAGTCCCCATCCCGGGCTTCCCTGCCTTGGTGGCGCTGGAGGGGAGGACAGGAAGCCAGTGCCGTGTCTCCAGCCTTTCCTCACAGCCTGGCTTCGGGTTTTAGATCAATTACTACGCAGACACCATCTACATATCGGCCGGCGTGGACGCCACGCAGTCCCAATATGTGACTGTGGGCGCCGGTGTGGTCAACATCGTGATGACCGTCATGTCGGTGAGTGACCAGGACGTGACCTCTGGAGGCCGCTGGAGCCCTGCAGGTCAGGGTCCTCTGCCTGCACCCAGCGAGGCTTAGACCAGGTGGCCAGCACACCTGCAAACCCAGGCCCTGCGTGAGGCCAACTCTGGTGGCCCGGTCCCCAGTGTGACAGGTGCCAATTCAGGGCTGGATGCTCAACACCTGGCCCCGAGCCTGGCTGTCTTTCCTCTGCCCTCTTCCTCCATCTTTCCTTCCCTTCTTCCTCCAATGCCGCTTCCGGTCCCACCCAGCCCTCCCAGCCCTGCAGGTCACTTTCCATCACTGGCACAGTCGCTGCCCCTAGGGGGAGGCCAGAGCACAGTGGTCCTCCCAGTCCCACACCGAGAAGTTGGGTCCACTCTGGCTTCTCCGTTGACCAGAGTGCTGCCCCTCCTGGCACTGCCCAGCTGTGGTCCCCGGGCGGGAGGTGGCGGGGTCCTGGTGGGACCCGAGGCTGCATGTCTGGGACCCAGAGGAGAGGGCGAGGCAGGAGTGGCCGAGGCGGCCAGGGTAGCAAGGCTGGATGAGGAGGGCAGGCCTGACACCAGGAGGGGGGACGGGAACCCCCGGACACGGGCCAGCAGGGCCCTCACTGCCACGTCCCCGCAGGCCTTCGCCGTGGAGCGGATGGGGCGGCGTCTGCTGCTGCTCTCTGGCTATGGCATCTGCGGCTGCGCCTGCCTGGTGCTGACTCTGGTGCTGCTCTTCCAGGTCTCGCTGCCTCCCTGCCAGGAGGGTGGGAGATGGGGATGGCGGGCACCTGGTCGGGTGGCACTCAGGCCTCTCCTCTGGGGCCAGAGATGCCACCTATCCCCACCCGCAAACAAGCTCAATGGTTTCCCCAACCTAACACAGGGCGTGGGGGTGCACTCGCCTGCAATCTGAGCACTCAGGAGGATGGAGGCAGGAGGACACTATCAGCTTGAAGCCAGGGTGCTCTGCAGGCTGCCCTAGCCCAGGGGCTCCTAGAAGGATCTCTCTGGGTCCCGGGAGGGTGTGGTGATCCGAGCCCACAGCCCCACTGTGCCAGAGCCAAGGATGTGAGGTCCTCGTGGTCTGGTCTGTGTTCAGATCTCTCTAGCTCGGAGCCCCGCTATGTAGGATGGAGGTGAAGGAGCCAGCTCAGCTGGGCGACAGAGGATAAAATGTGTGGCTGTCACCAGGTGCAGAGGACAGTGCCCAGCATGCCCGTAAACAAGGGGCAGGCTTCCTGCTGGCCGTCCTCAAACCAGGAAAAGGTCACAGCAGCCACCAATTTGCCACTGTCCTCCTCCTCCTCCTTCTCCTCCCTGCCAAGCCCCAGAGGTCCCTGTGAGGCTCAGACACCCTAACCCGTGCCGAAGCTGGGACCCTGGTGGGGTCTGACAACCCCACCCGCCCCACAGAACACGGTCCCTGAGCTGTCCTACCTGGGCATCGTCTGCGTCCTGGTGTACATCGCGGGACACTCCCTGGGGCCCAGTGAGTACCGCGCCCCCACCAGCCTGCAGAGCCCGGGAGACACTGAGGACCCAACTGTGGGAGGGGGGGACAGGTCCCCCAGGCCCACCTCCAAATGCTTGTCCTCTGCTCTGGTCCAGAGCCTCCTGCATTTTCTGTTTATCATGTCCCACAAAGACACTCAGGAGAGATCCTCAGGAGAGAGCTCTTTGGGAGCTGCTTCAGCAAGTAGCCAGAGCCACAGAGATGCCTGTGTTCAAAGCCGGGGAGGATTTGGAAGGGGGTTCCAGGCTGGGTGTCGCTGAATGTTATAAGCCCTTCTTAACCACGCCCCTTAGCTTTAGGTCACTGCCTGTGCGGTGGATCCCTGGGGTTACATTTTCCTGGAGGTGTCAGGGAGGGGAAGGGAGCTGCCCTTCCCCACTCCGGCCAGAGGGGGCAGCGCTGCCGCAGCCCAGGAGTCCTGGGGAGCAAGATCTCAAGGGCCCCTGGGCACCCTAACTCAGCCACAGGGTCACTGCTCCCCAGGCGCCTCCCATCTGCCCCTTCTTTCTTCTCCTGACTCTGTGCACAGCTGGGTAAGAGCCAGGGCCTCGACACACTAGGCAAGTGCCCACTGCCAAACCACATGCAGCCCCTGGCCACCCTCTGCAGCCCCTCCCGGGCCCTGCAGGCTGTGGGGCAGGGAACATGCAAATTACACTCAGGTCCCCAGTGGGATGCTGCAAAGGACCCCTGTCGCCCATCCTGCTGTGGGTTGTGGGTTCCTCTCTGCTCCCGCAGGCAAGCATGAGAGTCTCAGGTCCAGGCAAGGAAGACTGGGTCCCAAACTGTGCCCCAGCAGCCCTGTGCCCCGTGTCCCAGGTCCCGTGCCCTCCGTGGTGAGGACGGAGCTCTTCCTGCAGTCCTGGCGGCCGGCCGCCTTCACAGTGGACGGGCTCGTGCACTGGCTGACCAACTTCATCGTGGGCTTGGTGTTCCCGTCCATCCAGGTGAGCTGCCCTTCACCCAGCCCCGCTTCCCGCTGCCCTGCCCAGGGGCAAGCGACGGGTCCCCCTCTGCCCTCTCTGAAGGACGTCCACCTGTTCAGTCCTGCACATGTGAGACACAGCCGGCTGAGGCTTTTGTCATTGTTTTTGAGACGAGGTCTCACTGTGTAGTTCAGCCTGGCTTTGAACTCACGGCAATCCTCCTGCCTCAGCCTCAGAGTGCTGGGATTACAGGGTGCACCACCACGGCCAGCTGTGGCCTAGCTCTTGAGATGAGTCTGTCCCGTATGGAAGGGCGCCCCTGCGCCAGGGGTGGCCTCACTACCTATGCATGGCTCTGGGCTGTGAACCCCAAAGGCACAGAAAGCAAGAGGGGCCAGCACAGGTGCATGGCCCCCTCCCCGTCACCGTCCCTCCTGCTCGCCCTCTGAGCCGAGCACCCAGCCCTCGCCCCTGACACAGGAAGGAAGCCCAGGCGCAAAGGGTTGTGTTCCGGTGTCATCGGGACCGTTTTCCACGAGGCGCCCCTGTCCCGTGACCCCCAGGCCAGCCTGGGTCCCTACAGCTTCATCATCTTCGCTGGGCTCTGTGCCCTCACCGCCGCCTACATCTTCGTGATCATCCCAGAGACCAAGGGCAGGACCTTCCTGGAGATCAACCGCATCTTCGCCAAGAGGAACGGGGTGGTGATCCCGGAGGAAGAGGAGGAGGAAGCTGGAGTGGGGCACCACCTGCCCGCCCTGCCCCCCAGCCAGACTGCACTGTAGGGGGGTGCATCACCCAGGGCCCAGGTTCTAGGTGACCTTCCCTGAGGAAGGGTGAGAGCGGTGAGACCTTTGTACCCCAAGGAATGCAGACTTGGGGGAAGGGGGTGGCAGGGTGGGGGCAGATGCTTGTGTTGATAAGACTTAACTCCTTTCCAGACTTGGTGGTACAATCTGTAATCCCAGCTACTTGGGAGGCTGAGGCAGGAGGATCAGCAGTTTGAGGCCACCTGGCCAACTTAGAAAGACCCTGTCTTAGAGTAAAATAAAAAAGGGTGGAGGGCTGCTCAGTGGCATCAGCGCCTGCCTGGCAAGCTCAAGCTCCTGAGTTCAATCCCTGGTACCAAAAACAAAAATCTCTATAAAAAGAGGTGGAGACCCGGGCATGGTGGCTCACGCCTGCAATCCCAGCACTAGGGGGCTGAGGTGCGAGGATCCTTGCAAGTTCGAGACCAGCCTGGCTACGAAGTGAGCTCAAGCATAGCGAGACCCCGTCTCAAAAACACACACACAAAAAAGAGGTGGAGAGGTAGCTCAGTGTGAAGACCCTGGGGGTAATCCCCAGCAGAACAAGCAAAAGCAGAAATACCTTGATTTGTGCGCTGGGGATTTAGCTCAATGGCATAAGCACCTGCCTGGCAAGTGCAAGGTCCTGAGTTTGATCCCTGGTACCAATATATATATATATACCTTTATTCTACTTTGGTGCCAAATTTAAAGATGTACACATACTTTTTCAAAGTAAAATTTGTGAACTTCAGTGCACTGGTCAGCTTTATGTTGCTGTAACAAAATACCCAGGGGATTCCCTTAGAAAGGAAAAGGTTTGTTTGGCTTCATAGTCCTAGGGCCCGCCCCACCCCCAGAGTCAGGAGCAGAACCAGGCCTTGGACACCTGGGCCTTGGAGGTCAGATCCCAGCGCAGCAAACGCAAAGTCCTGGCATCCACAGCCTTCCCAGACGGGGATCCTCCAGGACCTGGGCCCGCTCCGGGCCTGGCCACCAGCTGTGCCCGGGGTCCCTGCTGAAAGTGGCCTTGTTCTCCTGGACTCAGGAAACACTGTGGCGCTGCTCCGGGGCCCAGCACGGGGCAGGGCGTGGGATCTCTCCAGGGGTCGCTGGGACGCTCGGGAAGCACCGGGGCCCCATCCCCGGGAGGAGGGCAACCCTCAGTGTCCTGCACGAGTCCGAGACGGAATTTCCATTTACTGTCCGTTTTGTCCAGCTTCCTGGTACTGGGATGGATCCCAGGGGCACCTCTAGCCCTGAGCTGCATCCCCAGCCATGTCGGGTTTTAATTCGGGCCAGGATTGAACGAAGGTCCATCTCCAGCCCCTTGTTATTTCCATTTTTATTCTGAGACTCAGTCTCCAAGGGCTGGCGGTTGCACGAGACTCCAAGTTTGGTCTCCCACAGGAAATATATAGAAAGGAAAAAAAGGAAGGAAGGAAGGAAAGAGGCCAAGACACAGTCTTGCTGAGCCACTTGCTGAGTCCCCCCGGCAGGGGTCACACCGCGTCCTCCTGCCTCAGCCTCTCGCTGTGCTGAGATTACAGACAGGCACAGACCAGCACACCCCGCGGGAATGCGCATCAGCTTGACTGTGGCAGTGCCACATGGGCACATACGTAAGTCACACACCAACTACATTTTAAATAAGAGAAGCAGGCAAGCATGCTGGCACACACCTCAAATCCGACACGGATCATTGTGAGTTCAAGGCCAGCCCGAAGTACTGGTGAGCCCCTGTCTCAAAGGAACATCAAAGGGAGAAGCAGCAGCCTAACCGCGCCTGCCTGCCTTCCCGTGAGCCCGCGGGTCCTGGCCTGGGACAGGAGGAGAGCGCCCGCCACCCCTCGGCCCTGTGAAGACGGGACTCCGAGGAGCTCAGGCTGAGAGGGCAGGACCTGGAGTAAAAAGTAGCAGCTCAGTGCTGTGGCGTCTGACTGACTTGGCAGGCCTAACGCTGGTGGGCTGAGCACCTACCTGGAGGATCACAAGATGCATTATAGCAACTGTGAGGGATTTCCTTCTGTCTTGCTTTTGAAAGCCAATGTTTTGTTCTGTTGCATTGTTTTGTTTTATTGTTGTATCTGCAAGCCTGAGCAACTATTGTGAAGATAACAATATATAATATAATAGGGGCCAGAGATGTAGCTCGGCGGCACAGCACCTGCCTGGTAAGCATAAGGTGCTGAGTTCCAGCCCCAGGGACCAAAAAGAAAAACATCTGAAAAATAAAAAATAAAAATAAACATTTAAATTCTGTCAGTGAGCCCGAGTCTCTGGGCAATGGCGCTCATGGGACCACTGGCGACCCTGATAGTCCCCCGCATGCCATAGACATCCTGACCCCCGGGGTCTCCCTGGATCGTCCTCCCAGCCAGTGGTGGGGGACAGGCTCCCTCCATCACCAGCAGAGCAGAGTCCTTGCTGGACTTGGCAAGCGCCTGCCTGCCCAGCCCTGGGCGCAGCTGGTCCCAAAGGCTCTGGGCGGTCCAGAGCCTTTGCACTTTGCTTGCTGCATGGCCCGTGCCCCTCTGGAGAGCCGCCGTCCACATGGGAGCTGCAAGGCCCAGGCCCAGGCTCAGTGGTGCTGCTGGGTTCCCGGTGCATATGGGGTGGTGCTGGGAGAGACATGGGAGCTGGCTAAGGGGAGCCAGAAGTTGATTCTCTGTCTGCTAAGCAGGGACCCTCATTCCCACCGAGCACCAAGGCACAGTGAACTCACCCTGGGGTGGCGCCCGATGGCTGCTCCAGCCACCCCGGGAGGCAGACCCTTCTCGATCGATGCCCCTTCCAAGGCCGAATCCCCAGTCCTGGAACTTGGGCAGTGGAGGAAACTTTAAGACAAATTGGCCACCACACCATGAAGTGCAAGAGCCTGGGCCTGGGCCTTGGGGCTGTCTGGTGTGGGGCTCCTCTCCCTCTCACTGCCACTCAGAAAGCCACACTGAGTCGAGCTGCAGCCCGTGGCACCCCAGCAGAGTTCTGCGGGTGCACCTGGGGTTTCCCAGGGCTCACTCCCTGGGTGTCTCTTCCAGGGACCCCTCCTCTCTTCTGTCCGAGAGCCCCCAGCTTGCCTGATGCCCCTGCCTCTGCCTCTGTAAGACCACGGGCTCCGACACCCCAAGACTCAGTACTTCCTCAGCCCGTCTCCAGGAGGAGCCCCACCCCCACCGTCCCAGGATCCCCCCAAGCCCCGGCTTGGCTGCCCCAGTGGTCAGACAGCTCACCCCAGCCACACCAGCACCTGGTGACATGGATTCTGGACCCTGTCCGCCTGCTTGGGCACCGGCTCTGTCCCTGGCGCGTATTCCATGTCTTCTGGGCCTCATCTTTCAATCTGAGGAGTGGGGTTATGATAGTGTCAGTGCCAGTATGCGCCTTGCAGGGCCGTTGGGAGGACAAAGGGTTCTGGGCCTCAATTGTTTCATTCCTTTTGTTTTCCTGCCGTAGAGGAGATGAACCTGGGTGGTGACACAAAGCCCCAGACCTAGCCCTTTTGTACATTTTGGATACAAGGTCTCAAACTGCCCGGGCTGGGCTCCTCCTGCCTCAGCCTCCCAGGGCCCTGGAATTACAGGCACAGATGTGAAGGTGCTTTGAAATTTGAGCCCCGGCAGTGGCCTGGGGCAGTCTCTGTCCCTCCCTAGAGCCATCCGGGGTCCTTGATATATGCAGATCTTTCCGCAGGACATTTACAGGTCTCTGGGCCAACGTGAGAACTTGGAAGCACCGAAGAGAAGCTCGCAGGTCCTCCAGGCATCGGCCCTGTGGTTCTCACTGTGGCCGCTGGAGGGCAGCACGTTCCCAGGGGAAGTGCGCAGCGCTGCTCGAGGGAGAGGGATGCGGGGTGCTCCCCCTGCGGTGATTTAACATAAACAGTGAGCCCTGAACCAGCTTTGGTGGTGGAGGTTGCAATCCCAGGGCTCCGGGAGGCTGAGACAACACGGTTAAAAGTTCGAGTCCCGCCTGGACAACCCAGCGAGACAATGTTTCAAAAAATAGGGGCCAGCGGTGGCGGTGCACTCCTGTAATCCCACTGTGCAGCCCGGGCTGGCCTGGAACTCACAGCGATCCTCCTGCCTCAGCCTCCCGAGCGCTGGAGTTGCTTTTATTATTTGTTTCTTTCATTATTACAGCAGCAAGGCTGTTCCTTCTAACCTAACTGGGCCCCACACACACATTTCACACCTGCCCTGTCTCCAAACAAATCCTCAGCGCTCCAAAGGTTACACCGGCTCCACTGTTGCTACTTCAGAACTAAGCAAGCCTAACTGACCAGAATTTGCTAAAAGCTTGAAGAATGCTTTTTTCTTTTAGTCCTGGAAACCTGGACCTTTGCACTGAGCTACATCCCCTGCCCTTTTGATATTGAGACAGAGTCTCACTAAGTCACAAAGTGCTCTGGCTCAACCCTGCCACCCTCCTGCCTCAGCCTCCTAGAGATCTGGGATCGCGGGGCTGTGCCTCAGTGCTCCATTTAAGAATTAAGCCACCAGGGACACAGCTCAATGGCACAGCGTCTGCCTGGCAAGTGTGAGGTCATGAGTTCCATTCCCAGTACCCAAAAAAAAAGGAGAAGGAGGAGGAGGAGGAGGAGGAGGAGGAGCCAACCGGGAATTCTCTTCCTTTCTCTTAGCAGTGCTGGGACGGACCCCAGGGTCCCCTCAATGCTCACCGCTGAGCCACACCCCATCCCTCTGAGAAAATTTTAAACACAGAGGTCTTTCTACCTTCTCGTGTTTCAAGTGGATAATCCCCCATCACTCTCCTGGTTGTCCAGTGATAAAGGGGCCATACCTTGTCCCCACCTATAGTGTCTGCTGAGACGGCCAGGGTCCCCTCAAACTCACTGCCCACCTCCAGGGCAGGAGAGAAGATGGGCCAGTGGCCTCTGTCTGTGATGTAGAAAAGCACAGCAAGCAGTGGAGGCCCACACCCTCCATCCAGTCAGAGCACATGCAAAGGGCCTGTGGCCGGGGTGTGTAAGATATAGCTAAGCAATACCACAGACCGACAGGGCGAGGGGTGAGCTCGTGTCCAGAGAGCAGCCAGGGGCCAGTGGTGCAGCCCACAATTAGGGCTTTGGATTTAGTTTCTGTGATGGAAACCACAGGAGGGCTTGAAGCAGGCAAAGAGGGTGATTCCGTTTGTGTTTTAAGGGAATAAACAGTAATAAAGAGTAATGACTACCCTGAATCCACGGCCCGCCTTTGGCTAGAAGTCATGACGGCCACACCAAGCGTCCTGGCTCCCTTCTCCTGTCTCACTTCTTTTTCTGTTTGCTTTGTTTGAAACAGGGTCTCACCCCACAGCCCAGCCTGTCCTCAGACCTGTGGCAATCCTCCTGCCTCAGGCTCGTAAGTGCTGAGATCACAGGCGTGCACCACGCACCCCACTTCCAGGGTTTACTGGTCACTCCTACATCGGCTCATCCTTCTCTGAGTTTCCTCTCTGATCTTCCCTCCTTTTGCGGTAGATTTCTTTCTCTGGCCCAGAGGCTGGATCATCCCCTCAGTGCATCTTCCCTGGGCACCTCCAGGACCATGTCCGCAGGTCCCTCAGGTTGCTGTGGAGGAGGGGACAAAGTCTGGGGGCAGTCGCCTGAGGGTCTGAGCAGTTGGGTGACATCAGCCAGCAGTGACCCTGCACCTCACCTCCTGGAGGATGTCAGGACCTGTGGTGGCCCCAGCCTGGCACCTCTGGGCGTGGAATCTGTAGACCAACACCTCCTGAGCTAACGGCCTGGCTCAGTCCCCATGGCCGAGGGTGGCCGCAAAGGACGTGGCCACCCAGCCCCCTGCAGCAGGGCACTCATTTGAAAAGGCTCTGTGACCCCTGGCTGGTGCTGAGACTGGGATTGGACGGGGAAAACAGGACGAATGCTAGATTTGTTCCTTCCGGGACAACAGCGTAATAGAAACTTCCCAGCAGCCTCCTCACCGAGCCTCACTCCCGCCAGGCTCACTGTCTTTGAGACAGGGTCTTGCTATGCACCCAAGTCTGGCCTCAAATTCAAGGTGACCCTCCTGCCTCAGCCTCCCAAGTGCTGGGCTCACCAATCTGAGCCACCACATGGCGATCTTGGGTTTGGGGATGGACGCATTGTCCCCAAGTTCTTTTCAACGTGGTCCGGGTGTCTTTTGACAGCTGTGGTCTCAGATGCTCTGTGGCTTCCTTTCTCCTAACCCTAGCCTGGAAATCCGCCTCCCTCCTTGACCCCCACCCCTCACCGGTGCCCGGGGTCAGCATCTGAAGCAATACCAAGGAACAGAGACAAGAAATCTTGAAACACATTTGCAAAATCATTTTATTACATCTCAATGCTAAAGGGAGTTCCAGCTGATTTTTTTCTTTTTTCTTTTTTCTTTTTTTCAGTGAATATTACTTCATAATTTATGCATATAATTTATGTACAGCGTGATACATTCATGAGACGATGCTGCGTGCAGCTGAAGGCGTGCGTGTCATTGTGCGGCCACGGTCACAGTCGTGACTATTTCTGTCCCTGCTAAGGCTTCCCCGTGTCCTCCCGGCCCGCGAGCGCCGGCCACCTTGGGCCACTGCTGCCGTGTGCTGCTCTGTATTACCAAAGCGATGATGATTTTTTCGGTGCCGGGACAGAAGCGCCCGGCCCAGCCGCAGCCCGGGCCTCCAGGAGGGCAGCTGAGCCCGACAGCCGCGCCGCGGCTGTGTCAGTCAATTCTCACTGGCGATGTCAGCCTCGAGTCCCTCCATGTCCTGGTGACGGTTTCCTGTCCTAATCTAAGTCCAGCTGGTGTCCAGGGCACGGTCCCAGGATTCCTCCAAGCCCCCTTAGACACGCCTCTTCTCTCTCCTCTGCTCCAAAGCCCTGGCCAGGTCCCGAATGCTCATCTGGATCCCTTCTAAGTAGGACCCGATCTCGGAGTCTAGGACACAAGGGAAAAAAAAGGAGAGAATTAGTTTGGCAAGGCCAAAACTTGGAAGGCCATCAGCCCTGGTGTCACATGTCTGTCATCTCAGCACTTGGGAGGCTGAGGCAGGAGAGTCATTGTGAATTCAAGGCCAGCCTGGGCTACAAAGTGAGATCTTATATCTAAAAGAAAAAAAAGACAAGGGTCTCAGCAGGGATGACCACACAGGTGGCAAGCCATGGGCAGCCCAAGCACTTCCGTGCAGCATGGGGACTGAGAATATCTGAGCTCCCTCATGCAGGAAAAGCTTATGCAGTATGTACATGGGAGCCCGTACAGTCTGTTGGTGCCTACTGTAAGAACAGCAAAAATTAAAAAATTAAAAGGGAAAAATCTATACTCAGGAACCAGGTCCAACAGTCTGTACCCCTCTGCACAACCTAGGAGAAACCTGGCCTGTGTAGAAAGGTGCCACCCCTTGGGGAAGGGGGTGTCTCGCTTAGCAAGACTCTATCTCAAAAGTATCTTTTAGGGGCTGGGGATTTAGCTTAGTGGCATAAGCACCTGCTGTGCAAGCGTGTGGTTGTGAGTTCAATTCCCAGTACTGATACAAAAGAAAAAGACAAAGAAAAAAAAAGTTTTTTTTAAAAAAATTGTGTGTATTTTAAGACAGGGTCTTGCTGTGTAGCCCAGGCTGACCTTGAACTTGTATCGATCCTCCTGCCTCAGCCTCTTGACTGCACTGATGACAGGCATGTGCCACAACACCCAGCAATATCTATATTCTCGCCACCACAGCAATGAGACCAGCCCAGATCCCAGCTGTCACCTGACCCAAGGGACCAGCGGGACCAAGAGAGGGGGGACACTCCTGCCACCCCAGCACCCTGGGGCCCCACGCTTCAGCCCCATGCAAGCACAGGAAGGGTCTGTGGTCTCAAGGACCCAGCAGCAGCGGGGTGGGGTGAGGTGGGGTGGGGAGGGGCGGAGGGACTCGTGGACAGGTAAAGGTGCCTGCAGGAGACCACTGGGGCCAGGCCGGGCCATCGGTGTGAGCCTCTGCTCCTCTGTCAGCTGCCCCTGCTTACCCCACTGTGCAGCCCAGACCACGGGTGACAGGGCTGCTGTCCCCTCTCTGTCTCAGCACCGCCCCTCCCAGGCCCTGTCCTGCATCCCAGCTGTGGCCCTCTGCAGTCGCCCCAACAGGGAGAGACAGGAGTGGCCGGAAGGGGTGCGGGGCAGGGCCGCACTCACGGAGGCTGCGGGAGAACTGGAAACTGGCCTCCACCACCCTGTCATGCAGCGGCTGGACACTGCGGTAGCCGTTGTGCAGAGTCTTGTTGTCGTGTGTCAGCAGGGAGTTCTCAATCTTCCAGACCTGGGGGCGACAGAAGGGGAGTCACCACCAGGAGCTCGGGCAGCACCTGGAACGGCACCCCTGAGAGCTCAAGTCCAGGGGAGAGTCTAGGCGCTCTGGGCCAGGTGGGATCCACAGGTGTGCATGTTAGCCAGGCGTGGTGGTGCAGGCCTGCAAGCCTCTGTCTCAAAAAGCCAAGAAAGAAACAAAAGACAAAACAAGACAAGAAAAGAAGACATACTGTTGCCAGTCTCTCTCTCAAACCCCCCCCCCCCTCACTCTGAGCACCCTAATCCCATCTCTCCCGAAGTTCTGGGAGTGTTCTTCTGTGTCTTTTTCATGGCACATCATTTCAGTTTTCTGTCAAATAAAACACAACAGTGGCCAGGGATGTAGCTCAGAGGCGCAGTGCCAAACTCAAGGTCCTGAATTTGATTCCTGGCACACACACAAAAACTGTGACGTTGTATCGCCCTCAGCCACCTTGTTCACCGGATCTGCCTCTTTGTGACCTGTGTGACCGCCGGCTCTTCCCCAAAGTTAAAGCGACCACAAATGGTGAATATTTTGAACCACAGAGGCAGCCGCCACAGCACAACTCAAGACACTCAGGAGAGAGGGCTCCAGAAAGCAGCGAGAAAGAGGAGATGAGCGTGCTTGCAGGAGAGGATTTTGAGGGGGATTCATGGTACTGTGCCTTAGCTGGGCATGGTAATCCCAGCACTTGGGAGGCTGAGGCAGGAGGATCTTTGCAAATTCAAGAGCAGCCTGGGCTACACAGTGAGCTCAAGGCTAGCCTGAACTGCATAGAGAGACCCTGTCTTAAAAGGACAAAAAATAAATAAATCATGGTATGTGTCTTTCACTGCAATGCATTTTTTAAAATTTAATGCTCGGGTGTATTTCTGAGCTGCTCCTGTTACACAGCTCATCTGTTCGTTCACTCCTCCAACGTGCACGGAGAGAATAAAGTCAAAGAGACATCTCAACGTACGCTCTCGCGCTCTGTCCTTCCAAACCGGCCAAGGGCTCTGCGTGCTCCCGGCCCCGGGGTTCTGGCTGGGAGCCCAGTGTGAGCTGGCCTCAGTTTCCCTCACTGGGAAGCAGGACCCAGTCCCTCCCGCCCTTGCTCTGCCTGGGTCAGATCAGCCTCATGGTTCTCTTTACGACTGCTTGCTGGCTCTGTGTTTGGTGCTTTCACTGGTATGTGTTTAGTGTAAGGTTGGTTTGGTTTTTTTTTATAAAGGTTCTCACTGGCTGGGCTCAAACTCACACAATCTTCCTGCCTCAGCCTCCCAATGCTGGGGCAGCAGCTGTGTGCCACCATGCCCAGCGTTTTATTTGTATCATATTTGTAAAAAAGTTCCTTTATGTTAACATCAAACCTACAGGACTGACTTCTGAATTCCAGGCTGACCCTGGATCACTGGACTCGAGTGACTTCCCACCGTGTGGGATAAACCTGGACACACACAAGAAGCGAGCCAACCTCACTAACCGCGCAGTGGCAGACAGATTTCGTGGATGCCAGTGTTTACCAGTCTCCACTGAATGGGAATTTAAAATTTTAAATAAAAGCCTGCCAAGAAAGGCTGCCAAGGCCAAGCCAGCGTATCCGGACCAACCTGATAAGAAAACATTCCTTCCTTTGTGTAAACTTGTCTAACAGATGGCCTTAAAATGTAACTTGAAATGTTCCTTTGTGTAACCCCGGGCTTTAGGGCCTTTGTATAGCTGATGACCTTACGATGTAACTGAAAACGTTACAGGAGTTTCTTTCTCGGTGTCACCCACGCGTTATAGGGCTGACAGCCTTATGATGTAACCTAAAATATTTAAACTCCCTTAGCAACCCATGATGTCACCCAGCCCTCCAATCACAGTGCACTAAGTCTGCCCCTGCACCGCCCCCTTGCTTTCTCATGAAACACTGCCAGGCTGGGCTGACTGGGAGAAACTCAGTCAACCGGTGTAATAAACTGCCTCCCAGACCTCCTCCCCTGTTGGGTCTGTTTTCTGCAATGCTACCACAGCACTGGGGAGGACACCCACAGTGGCATCTGCAGCAGAGCCCCGGGTGTCAGCCCCAAGGAAACCAGGCGCCCGCTCAGTGCCCCCCACAGCCTGGGCCAGCGCTACCTGCGCCCTGGAGAGCTTGACGGAGTCCTGCAGCACGAACCAGCGCACGTTCTCCGTGCAGGGCGGCGTGGTGAGGGAGCCGTGGTAGGTGTAGTATTCGAAGTGGTTCTCGGGCAGCATGTCCAGGACCGGGAGGCCGCTGATCATCGTGCTCTGTCCTAGCAGGCAGGACGGGGGACAGAGGGACCTCAGGGCCAGCGCACCGACCGGCTGCTCTCGCGGCCTCCAGAGGCAGTTCTGAAGTGCGCTTTCGCTTGCGTAGGCAATAGGTTTGGGATCAAAACTGTGCCGAATGCGGCCTCCCGGCGCCACCCAACCGGACGGCAGGCTGGAAAACACCGCGTGTGCCCATCCACCTGGCTCACAGGACCTGGCGCCATGCAACTCCTGGCTCTGCGCCGAGGTCAAAATAAGCCTGAAAATTAACATCTCAAGGCGATGCAGGACACTGAGGCGGCCAGGACAGTGCAGCTAACCAAAGACTCCGAAAAGGACTTTCGGGCCGCTCGGAAAGTAGCGAGAACAGTAACCCGAGTGCTTTGGGAGCAAGAGGGTGCTGAGGGGTCAGTGGCACCGTCTGCCACCGCGACACAGCTCATCGTCTTATGAGCAGGTTCCTCGGGGTCCTGGTCAGCCCAGCAGACGGTCAGCAGCGTCACCCTCCGCTCCACCCCCAACGCGCGCTCAGTCCCCTCCTGGCGTCCTACCTGGGTACTTGATGTTGGCCAGGTGGGAGATGAAGCTGCTGTAGTAGGTGTTTTCAGCGTCCTCCTCCATCTAGAGGTGAAAGGCGGGCCGTTAGCTGGCGCAGGAGGATGTAGCTGTGTGCTTTCCTAGCAACCGTGCGCCTGCTAGTTTATGGCTGTTAGTAGGCGGGGCCTGGCTAGAAGAGGCGGGGCTGCCATAAGAAACATGGCCTATCAGAAGAGGCAGGAACTGTTGGAAGAGGCGGGGCCTGTCATAAAAGGCGGGGCCTATCAGAAGAGGCGGGGCCTTCAGAAGAGGCTGTCCTGGGGGCGTGGCCTGGATGGGTTTATCTTCCTCCTGGTTCTTCCCCTCACTCTCGGCTTCCTGGGCACCATGAGCTGAGCCCCTGTGCTCCACCAGACCCTTCCTGCCATGAAGCCAGACACTGTGGACTGAATCCTCTAAAAGCCGTGAGCCAAGAGAAGCTTCTCCTCCTGGAAGGCTGTGGGTGTCTGCTGTTTTGTCCCAGCCATGAGACAGTGACTAAGCCACTGCTGAAAGCTTCCCAGGGCACCTGTCTTGTCATCCTCAATACTTGGGCCACAGGTTCCGGGCAGAAGAGCTCCAGGTGCCCCCTGCCAGAGCTCTCCTCCTGTAGGCGTTCTGCCTCTGCGAAGTACGGCTGTCCTGGTGCACAGGTTCCATTGCGATGGGTCTTTCCAGCCACTGGTGCCCACTGGATGCCTTCCCACTGCACACACCTGGGCAGCCTCAGACAGGTGCCCGTCTCTGCTGTGCGCCCTCGAGCGGTTCCATCCTGCCGTGCTGCTCTGCTGCCCGTCCACTACTTTCTTCCAGGTGAAATGCTTTCACCGCACCCATGCCCCCTGTCTGTCGCTTCCAGGGTGTCCCCTCTTAAACCTCCGGCTCACTCGTCACTCCTCATGGGCTGAACTCACGGTCATCTTGGATCACTCAGCTGAACCGAGTCAGCCTGGCGCTGGGTGTGGAGGCACCTGGGGACTGCTGCCAATGGCAAAAAAGGAGAACGGCAGGAGGCTGTTGCTCCTCCTGGAGAAGCTTGTCACGCTGGCATCCTGATGGGAACCCAGCTGTTCTCATCATCAGAGGGGCTGCAGTGCTTGCTGTCACTGAGGAGGACTGTGGTTCTCTTCCGGGAGCTCTGGTCCTCACCTTGGGCATGGCTTCCTGGCTCCAGAGCAGATCCCTCAGCCTCTGGCACAGCTCCTTCATCCCGCTGGTGCCAACTTTCTGGTTTCCACCGCTGACCTTTGGGCCTTCCCAGCGCAGATCCCTGATACAGACCTGCCTGAGGCATTGGCGTGGGCTCCAGGCCTCCTGCCAGACTCCTACAGGGAATTGCTGTGGGCTCCAGGTCTTCAGCTGGACTCCTGCAGGACATTGCTGCGGGATCCAGGCCCTCGGCTGGGTTCTGTAAGTCTCTAGCACATGGACAGATCTCCTACACTCTCGTGCATTTCACTCTCTGGGTGAATATTATAAAGTTATCCTATGAATTCTGGGTCCTATATTAAATCTGTCCCCTTGCAAAGCCTGACTGCAGTGCTGTGACCACGCGGGAGCCGGTGTCAGCCGCCAGCCCTCTCGGATGCTTTGCCGTCTTCTGTTGCTGTCTTCGCTGGTGCTGTGGCTGCGCCTGGGTGGGCACCTGGTCAGATGCCAGGTCAGCCCCGCCAGCCCGGCTGCGAGCACCCGGCTGTCCTGACTGCATGACCTGATAAAGCCGCCCACCTGGTGACCATGCTCTGGGTGTGGACAGAACAGGAGGTGAGAAGCCCACGGACACTCGTGCTCTTCCTTGATTTATAACCATTTTCACAGGTAAATGCCTTGATCTGCTGTTTGCCTTGGCCCGTTTCCAGCGCAGAAACGACTGGGTTTTTGCTCTTGTTTTTGTTTTTGTGGTGTTGTGGATTTTGTGTTTAAATGATTTTACCCACTTTAATACTTGCTTTTTGGCAATTCAATTCCCAACCAGCCAGCCCTAATCGCCCTCTGGGTTCTGAAGAAACAGCTGCTTTCTTTGGCTGGGTCAGAGGTCTGCCCCACCCTGCCCACCTGGCCGTGTTAGGTGAAACCGCTGTGGTTTCAGGTCTGTTACATCACCTTGTCCAGGGCCAGGGATGCAGCTCAGTGGCACAGCACCTGCCTGCAAGTGCAAGGCCCTGAGTTTGGAAAAAAAGTCATCTTGTCCCATTTATCCATGCTCCCCAAGGATCCCAGCCGAGAGTGGGGGTGCTGGACCTGGGGTAGGTGTTGGTGCCCCACTGAATCAGCTTCCCAAGGATGAGGAGCTCAGAGAAGGACAGGGAGAGACCCGAAGAAGACATAGTCTACACCCGACACTGCCAAGCCATCGGTCTACACCGCCTACCTCCACGAAGGCGGCCAGCACTGCCAGGCCATCTGGGGCGTCTTTGGCTATGTCATAGCTCTCGTATTTCGAATTGTAGTGAACCACGTGGATCTGTGGGAACAAGACACAGGCATCTCATGGTCGGGGCAGCTCAGACAGACTGCCATCGCTTCCCAGACAGGAAGGCAGCAAGAGGCCCCAGGCCTGTCTGCCCTCTGCATCCCTCCACAGGGTGGAGACGGGGCTAGGAGGCACAGCACGACGGCATCCACAGATGCCAGGAAGGCAGGGCTCCCCTGAGGACCCTGGGCCCCTCCGTGGTCTCTGGGGGCCGGGGACAGAGTGAGCAAGGAGGGTCACCCCGAGTTCGAGGCCAGCCTGGGCCACAGAGCAAGAACCTGCCTCCGAAAGGGTGAGGGAGTGGGCTGCGGGGACCTCACGCACCTCCATGACCCGTCGGACGCCGTCAACGGTGTGCTCCGAGCCGCTGACCTCAAAGGAGTCGCCGCCCCAGTGGAAGTGCATCTGCACGGCCACGTGCTCGGTGCCCTCGGGGCCGGCCAGGCGCATGCTCTCAGGCAGGGTGATCTGCACTGGAGGGGAGGCGGGCGCTCAGACCTCCGGCGGGCAGAGGGCGCCCCCTGCTGCCTCTGCGTGTCCACTCGTGGACAGACGGCCCGTGGGTGAGGGGGAGACACTCAGAGCTGGCGAGTACCAAGCACCAAGGCCCCTCCCTGCCAACCTTACATCACCACAGCTTGACGCAGCTCATACACACAAGACAAAGGCCCAGTGCCAGGCCCGGCGGTAAACCTCAATAGTCGCAGCACTCAGGAGGCTGAGGCAGGAGGATCGCTCTACCTTTGAGGCCAGCCTGGGCTACATAATGAGTTCAGGGCCAGTCTGAACCACATAAAGAGACTCTGTCTCAGAAAACAAAAGGACAGGTAGCTCCACACAGGCAGCAAGAGACTGACAATCATGTCCCTCCCCCACCAAAACCCAGGTAGTTGGGGGAAGCAGAATGTCTCAGCCACCGTGCCCCAGCTCAGGCAGGAGGTAACACTGGGCTTGTGGCTGTGTTTTGAAAAGAAGAGGCCAAAACCTCTGTCCCCAAAAAGCTTGCTGACCCTTCCGGATTCTTTTTCCCAAAGAGGCCGCTTCCCTCTCCAGGGATGAAGTTAACCCACCTCACCTGCACGATCAGAGGAGGAGGGGAGCAGAGACTCAGGATGTATTACATGCCCCACAGTGGGTGCAAACATGGACTAAGACAGACATAATCGGGCCGGGGGTTTAGCTCATCCCCAGACCACACACAAACAAAAGGCATAATAACTTTTTTTGAGACAGGTTCATGCTGATCTTTAACTCACTACATAGCCCAACACTGAGATCCTCCTGCCTCAGCCTCCTGAGTGCTGGGATGACTGGTGTGCACCACCACCCAGATGTAAATAAGTTTTGTCTAAAAAGAAGTGATCAGGGCCAGGTATTTGGCTCAGAGGTCCCTGCCTGACAAGTACAAGGTCGTGAGTTCAATCCCTGGTACCAAAATAAAATAAAATGAAGTGATCAGCCAAATGTCAAAGCCGCAAAAGCAAAAAAAAAAAGGACAAAGATCTGACCCAGATTAAGGGAGCCTGAAGGCCAGATGGGCCAACTTCGATGGGGAACCTGCTTGAGACCAGAAAGAGGGCAGCAAGGTCTCTAACCGTGAGCATCTGTGTGAATTCCCAGTGACATCTGGGCTGTGATTGTAAGATGTTCCGTTAGACATGGGAGAGGGTGTGTGGGTCTCTCTATCACTTTTGGAGTTTTCCTAGCCTAAAACTGTTTCGTGGTACAGGCCTGTCATCCCAAAACTCAGGAGGCTGAGGCAGAAGGATCATTGCAAATTCGAGACCAGCCTGGGCTACAAAGTGAGCTCAAGATGAGCCTAAACTGCACAGGGAGGCCCTGTCTCAAAAAAACAAAGAAAAAAAAAGCCACATCCAAAGGTTTTTTTGTTTTGTTTTGTTTTGTTTTGGTACTGGGTGTCAAACTCATGACTTCGTACTTGCCAGGCAGGCGCTTATGTGACTGAGCTAAATCCCCGGCTGAAGGCTCACAGGGGTGGGGCAGTGCCAGAGGACCTCTGTGAGCCTCAGCGGTGTGCAGAGCCCTGTCGGTGGGCGATGCAGGTCACCCCGACTTACACGTGTGAGCAGCACATTTCAGCTCTGAGTTATGTCACTGCTGATAGGACGACCTGGGAGCTCACCTGTTGTCAAACAGAACCTGAGCCCAGCTCTGACTAATGGCTGTCACGCAAACAACAGCGAACATCACCGCAGTGCCAAAGCACCCCAGCGCAGACTTTCCTCTTTCAGTGACAAACCGTGTTGCAGAGAGCTCTGTTACTGTGCTCTCTGACAAAAGATGTCGAGGGGTGGGTTGGTTTTTTCTAAAAGCGAACCTCAGTCTGCAGGTATTATTGCCAGGGTGGCGCTTTGCGGTCAATAAGTGGGTTTGGGACCGAGTGTGGACTGGGCACTCGGTCTCTGAAAGATTCACTGTCCCGGGCTTGGCGTGGGGCGGGCACGGAGCCCGCTTCCTTACACAGAAGGTAAAACTTGTACTTGCTTTGGCAGCACAAATAAAATGGAAACTTGGCGTCCTGGCCGTGTCTGTGCATTGCATTACAATCGTGCGTGCGTGCGTGTGTGCGTGCGTGTGTGTGTGCTGGTGTGGAACCCAAGGCTTCACACATGCCAGGCAAGTGCTGCACCCCCGAGCTGCACGCCCAGCCCTGCAGGGACCCTGTAACACACCACCACAGGCAGATCCGGGGGTCAGTGACGGAGAGGCCGGATTTCATGGGCACTAAAAGCTGCTCTGGGTAAAGCCTGCTGGGGAGGGAGGAGAGGAGCCGGGAAAGAAGTGTCCCAGACAACACAGCTGCTGGCACACTGTCCCACCCGTGCCAGGCAGGAGTGCGTAAAATTCAGCAACAGAAAACCAACAGGCTGCTCAGAAAGTGGACAGAAGACGGGACGGACACGGGAGAGCAAGATACGCCGATGGCAGATGGGCGCTCGGATCAGGAATCAGCTAGGCGGGGACCCAGCCAGGCCATGCAGACCCCGAGGCTCACTCCTGGGGGAGGGGGGGCAGAGCCCAGAGCCCTCCCAGGGCTGAAGAACGCAATGCTTCGGAAGGCTGTTTCCACCACAGCTAATCACCCCCTCCCCAGGTGACCCAGCGCCCACCTGGGGACCTGCTCACAGCAGGGGACAGCTATGCCAACCCCCTGGGAACCTGCATGCTGATTTACATCTGTCTGTGTGTTTGTGGTTTCTTGAGACGGTCTTACTCTGTAGCCTAGGCAGGCCTCAAACTTACAGGGATCCTCCTGTCTCTGTCTCCTGAGTGCTGGGATTACAGGCGCATACCACCATGCCAAGCTACGGCAGGTTTCTTTTTTTTTTTTTTTTTTTTTTTTTTGGTCTTTTTCGTTTTTATCGGTACCAGGGATCGAACTCACGACTGCCTGCTTCCAAGGCAGGCACTTATGCCGCTGAGCTAAATCCCCAGCCCCTACGGCAGGTTTCTTAAGCAACAATCGCCCAGATTCTGGTGACCGAGATGATTTTCAGTGGGTGAGTGGATAAATAAGAACCAGGGTCCATCCTGACCACGCTAAAAAAAATAAATGGGAAATCCCGAGGGAGACCCTGAGGCGCAGGGACCCAGTGAAGGATGCAGCCGCAAGGTGACCCTGCAGGGTTCCGCTGCAGGACCTCAGAGGGGAGGCGGAAAGATGGGGCTTCGGGGATTAGGACAGAGGGCGAGGAGGAGGAGCACGGGTCTGGCCTGGAACTGGGGCGGGCATGTTTCCTTAGGCCCAGGTTGGGCAGGACCAATGTGGGTCGGGCCTTTGGTTCTAACAAGAGTACACTCGCGTGGGACTTGAGAATGGGGGACAGCAAATAGCCCCTCGACGTTTCACTAGAGTTTGACTTGTGTATTGGTTTCTGTTTCCTTCAACAGAATTCCTGAATGTGCTGGGAGCTTACTGAAGGTTTACCGCAGACTCCAATCCCTATAGCCGAAGGATTTCAAAAGATCCTTGATAAGAAGCACCCTAAATAATAACATCCAGCAGAGCTGGGCCAGTAGCCCAGCAGGGCAACACCTGCCTGGCAGGTGCGAGGCCCCGAGTTCGATTCCTGGTACCAAAAAAAGAAAAAAGAAAAATACTGTACATCAAAATATATGGGGGTCAAAAAAAAAAATATATATATATATATAGGGGTCATGGCGGGCAGTGATGGGTTCCTAAGGTCCCAGCTACTTGGGAGGCTAAGGCAGGAGATCACTTGAGCCCAGGAGTTGGAAGCCAACGTGGACAGCACAGCTTAGAAATGGGGGAAGGGGGAGGGGAAGGAGGGGGAAGGGGGAGGGGAGGGGAAGGAGAGGGAGGGGGAGGGGAGAGGAGGATGATGCATCTCAGTGGCAGCACAGACAACTCCCGCCCTGCAGGCGAGGCCTTCCCTGCTTCTCGGTGGGACCCATGACCCTCTGTGACTGTTCTCCATGTACCGCGCCCGGATGGAGCAATGCTTTTCTCAGTTGGGTCACAGGCAGCTGTGTGTGGACATAAACAGGCCCAGCCCAGGACCCAGGCGGGAATGAGGGCGCCAGGTGTCACGCAAGGCCGTGCTGGGGACAGTCCTGGCCCACGAGGCTTCCCCACCCCAGAAAAGCCCCCCGCCTGGGCCTGCGGGAGCTTAGGCACCTGCTGGAAAGCCAGGGGATATTTTGTTTTGTCTTTTTCCTTTTTTATCGGTACCGGGGATCAAACTCACGACCACACACTTGCAAGGCAGGCGCTCATGCAGCTGAGCTAAATCCCCAGCCCCTCCAGGGGGTGTTTTAGGGTTTTACGGTTTCAGACTCGGTACAGAAATAAAGAGGGCACAGGACAGGAGCTGTTGGCGGTCACCTGTCACCCGCATGTCCTGCTGCAGGGGTCAGGCGAGCCGGGCTGAAGGAGCTGGTGGGGTCTGGGCCTCGGCCCCGATGCCCCCTCCGCCCCACAGGCGCCCCTTACCTGTGTGGCCGTTGTTGGTCATGGGGAACTGGCCGGCCTGACCCTCCTCGTAGCCCATGAGCTCCAGTGGCGTCAGGGCCGGGTTGAAGTGCACCTTCCGCCTCTGCAGGTTGATGGGGGACTGCCGAGTGCCCCCGCAGGCCGGGTAGTGCAGCGCCCAGTGCTCCTCGTCCAGCTGGCCCTCTGAGACAGAGACCACGGGCAGGCGTCAGGGCCCCTGGAGGACCAGGGCACCTGAGCCAGCGCCGCGGGCCTGGCTTCAGGGGCTCTGCTGCTGACTCTGGTAACCTTGCCATCACCCCAGGACCACGCCTTGGTGCTTAGGGGACAGTGGTCAGGGGCTCCTGGGCTGGGTCGGAGGCTTTTCCTCCTGTCCCCCAGGGCCACTGTGCTCCTTCCAAGCCCAGGACAGCAGTCCTGACCCCTGTGCCGCAGGAAGCCCGCCTCCCCTTCTCTTGCTGCAGCCCCTTTGTGAGTCCCCCCATGGTGAAGCCTCAGGGCACAATCAGTGCACCTATAGTCACGGCTATGCAGGAGGCTGAGGCAGGAGGATCCCTGGAACCCAGAAATGAGATCGAATCTCAAAACAAAAAGAAACTAAAGTAAAAACACCTGGGTAGGGAAGTTTATCTTTCTGGACATGGTGATAATCTCTGAGGCCGGGGAGTGCGCTCCGTTAAGGATGATTCAGCTCTAGACACCCAGAGCGAGTTGTCATCTCCTACAAGCTCGACTGAGAAACTGTATCAGCCTTCAGGGGAGCACTTGGGAATGGTGTCCTGGTGTTGGCTTTGCATAGTTTCTTGGTTTAAAATCAACAGAGAGGCAGGGGTCAGCTTAGCAGCACAAGCACCTGCCTGGCCAGTATGAGGTCATGAGTTGGATCCCAATGTCAAAATAAATAAATAAAATCAACAGAAAGCCGGGTGTGGTGGCTCACGCCTATAATTCCAGCACTCAGGAGGCTGAGGCAGGTGGATCACTGCAAGTTTGAGACCAGCCTGGGGTACAAAGTGAGATCAAGGCCAGCCTGAACTGCATAAGAGACCCTGTCTCAACAAAGACAAAATCAAAAATAAACTAAAAGATTGAGTCTCTGTCTCCCTGCCCTTCTCTTCTGTACTTAATAACCCAACCCAGTTTTGGGGTTTTGTTTTTTGTTTGTTTTTGTCTTTCTGAGACAGCGTCTCCCTAGCACTTCGGGCTGGCCTTGGGTTCACTTCGTAGCGCAGGCTTGTTTTGAATTTGCAACAATCATCCTGCCTCAGCCTCCCAAGTGCTGGGGTTATAGGAGTGCAGCACCATGCCTGACCCCAACATAGTTTTGTTTTGTTTTGTTTTTTTGTCTTTTTCTTTTTTTCATTGGTACTGGGGATCGAACTCACGACCGCCTGCTTGCAAGGCAGGTGCTTATGCCACTGAGCTAAATCCCCAGCCCCAACCCCAATGCAGTTTTAAACCTTCCTTTCTCTTCTAGGGCCAAACAGCTCCCCAGCCCTCCCAGAACGCTCCGTAAGAACCGCCTGATTCTTACAGCCCTGTCAGACTGGGCCAAGCCCCGGAGGATGGCACCTTCCTCCTTGGGACCCTCTCCCATCCTGCAGCCCACGGCCACTGCAGGGCACTGACCAGATGATGCTGGTGCCCTGGATGTCCCTGGCAGCCATTGGCACAGTGTGGCTCACTGGAGGGACATTGTGACGCAGGGCCCCGATCCCCAGGTGTCCCTGACTCTGCCTCCCTTGCCTGGGCAGGACCTGCCAATGCCCACCTGGAGCAGGAGTCCCCAAAGACCCGAGGCAGGGGCCGTGCAGGGTGGGCTCTGTCCCCTGTCTCCAGTGCCACCAGCACCAGCCAGGGACCACCGGCTCTCCAGGGACCCCATTCCGCAGCCCAGGAGAGAACAGGAGGACACGGGCAGCTGCTCCTGTGGCCACGTGCAGGGAGCTCTGGTGTCGTCTTCAGCACCTGGGAGTCGGGACCCGGGCCAAAGGCCTGGACCTTTCCCTCACATTGTGGGGCTCTCCTTGGCAACCGGGGCCATCTGAAGTCGGGTCCAGAAGCTCTGGGCAAAGCAGGCTGCAGCCACATTATTATCCCGTGCTCCCAGCACTCTGGGAAGCTGAGGCAGGAGGATTACAAGTTTGATCCCCACCTTGGCAACTTGTGTCTTAGTGAGACTCTGTCTCCAAAAGAAAAGTTTAAAAGGGATGGAGCTCAGTGTGGGGACCCTAGGGTCCCTAGGATTGCAGTTTCTGTTTGTTCGCTTTTTGAGACAAGGTCTCACTATAGAGTTCAGGCTGACCTTGCACTAAGTAGCTCAGGTTGGGCTCCATCTCAAGGCAATCCTCCTGCCTCAGCCTCCCCAGTGCTGTGCAAATTTAAAACTTAAAAACAAAGGAGGAAGAGATAGCATCTGAAACCACAGCAGGCCAATCCCCGTGAGGTGGCACACCAGTGTGGGCACTGCGGTCCCGCCATGGGGGACTCAGCTGCTTACCTGAGTAGGTCCACTCAGACCTGACCTGGGCCTGAAAGCCCAGGAGAAGCAGGGACACCAGAGTCACCAGGGTCGCCATGGCACTGCAGTCTGGAGCAGTCAGGGTGCCAGGATGGTGCTGCTTTTAAAAGCCCAGAAACTGTAAATAACAATTTACACCCGTCCGTCCGGCTGGCTGATCCGCCCTGCCCTGCCCCCGTGGAACAACAACAGCTCCCCACAATGGCCCTTCTCAGCGGCTGCCGTGTGCCAGGCGTGCCCGGTCCAATTAGCCGTGTCTGCTGCCCGGCCCGCCCGGGACCTCACCGAAGCCCGAGGCCACACAGAGCGGCCATTGTGGAGGGGACCCGGGAGGGAGGGCTGGCACCGGCTCAAATGGGCTACTGAGGCACGCGCTTCCGCTGCCCTTTCTGCCAGGCTGCGTGGGGCGTCACGGGCTGTGCACCCCACCGGATCCCCGCCGGCACTTCCTGCCTGTCTTGGAGCCACGGCCAGGCCCAGCTGTGCTGCCACCCAGGTAAATGGGCCAGCAGGGAGTCCGGCCAGAACACCAGGGTCCAAGCCCGAGGCAGGCATGGGCAAAGGGCGGGCAGAATTCCCACGAGCACACGCCACACTGGTCCAAGGTCAAGGACGCCCTGCACTGGCAAACAGCCTGGCTGCAAGGGCAACTGGCAGAATCCACCTGGACAAGGGCACTCGAGGAGTTTCAGGGATTCCCTGTCACTGTCACCAGCTGCTGCCCCGCCTAAAAGGTCCCCCAAAAGCCCAGTGTGGTGATGCACACCTGTAACCCAGGCACTCAGGAGGCTGAGGCAGGAGGATCACTGCTAGTTCAAGGCCAGCCTGGGGGCGGTGGTTAGGCCCACAAGCTCACAAGCTGGAAGAATCTCAGAGGCCTCAAGGGTGCTGAAGCAGGAGGGCTCTGATCCAGCCCTGCCTGGCTGGTTATCAGCCGCTCTGTGCCTCAGTCTCCCCATCTGCAGGAGGAGTCCATGCTGCTACCAACCTCCAGGGGATACATTGTGTGGTGTGACTACTTGCTGTGAGCACAGGGAAGTGACTTAGCTTGTCACCCACCAGGTTTCTGTGTGGTTGGTCTGAGCCCTGCCCTGTGGAAGGGACAGTGGTGTAGACCCCATGGGTCCTGCCACACTGAGGACAGTCAGGCATGCCAGGCAGCATATAGGACCCTTGATGTGTTCCCAGGGACTCTCCTTGGGGAAACTGAGGCAGGGCCACAGATGGAGCAACGTGGAAAGGTCTCTCGGTGATGGCAGCTGGAGGACCCAGCAGGGGCTGGGCAGGGGTGGGAGTGGGGGGAGCTGGAGCCTTAGGGTTAGGGTTAGGGTTAGGGTTAGGGTTAGGGGAGGGCAGCCGCAGACTCAGAGGACTCCCTGGCAGGAGCAGGCAGAGCAAGGGCCCCCCAAGCCCTACACTTCCTCTCTGGTCTCCTGTGGGCTTCTGTGGCCTGGGGCTGGCGCTTGGGGTCCCCAGAAGACCCCCCGCTGCCTGGCCATTCCCTGCACCCAGGCTGCCCAAACCCATTCAGCCAGCGCCAAGGGGCTATTTCAATTAATAAAGGAAGTCAGGCAAGGTGGCGCCGGCCAATCATCCCAGCACTCAGGAGGCTGAGGCAGGAGGATCACCATGAGTTCAGGGTCAGCCTGGGCCACATGAGACCAGGTCCAAAATGAAAGGTTACTGAAGCAGAGCTGAGCTAGGCCCACAGACTGACAGCCGAGAACGAGGACAGGGTACCGAGCCAGGCCTCCCGCCCCCCGGATGGCCTCTTTCCGGTGACGCAGTCCATACCCGATCAGACCACATCGAGCTGGTTGCCTAAGATCTGACACATTGTCTTCCTTGACCTTAAAATTTTCCACCAGCTGCTTCCTTCTGGCCTGAGAGTCGCGCCTGTTCCCCTGAGCGCCGAGCCCCCGGCCTCAGCCGCCCTCAGCCCTCGCCAGGGCGCTGTCCTGGCCCTGCAGTGCGACTGGGTGCCCTGCCACCCAGGGCGGGGTGGGGAAGGGCGCCTGTGCCCCCTGCTTCCTGCAGGGCCCCCAAGGCGGGCGTGTCCTGTCGTCCCGGGAGACAGGCTCAGGCTGCAGGGCCCAGCAGAGACTCAGGACTGCAGGGAGGACCCGGGGAGCGCGTGTGACCCTGTGGCCCAGCGCACGGCTCTCACGGGTGACTCACTCTGCACACGTGAGCTCTGTGCTCAGCTCCAGCCTAGTAAATCCCCAAGAGTGCACCGGCGTGGTGGCACAGGCCGTCACCCCAGCACCCGGGAGGCTGAGGCAGGGGGATCGCTGCCAAGTTCAAGGTCAGCCTGGGCTATACAGGGAGAGCCTGTCTCAAAACACCAAAGCAAATAAACGGGGAGAACGGTTCTGCATGTGAATTGCACACTGTGTTTAAGCTGCCACAACAAAGCGGATTAATCATGAAAAACTGCATTCATCTAAGAGCTGAATCCCATGCCCGCACCCCTGCTCGCTGGCACCGGGGCCTGGCGGAGGCCAGGGCTCCCCCACAAGGGACGCGCTGGACCCGCCACGAGCCCATGACGTGAGACTGTCGCGTTCCCCACGTAGGAAAAACAGATAATTCTAAACTTAAAAGATCTGGTAAAAACACAGCTCAGACGGGGCGGGCAGACCACAGGCTGCCCCGCGCTTTACGCAGTGTCTGGCAGCGGTGTGGCCCCGGGCCCTGCAGAGCCAGCGCGGCCACAGGTGGCTGAGACTTGGCGTGAGACTCCTGGGCCACCACCGCCTGCGGGCGCGGCTGCCCAAACGGGCTCCTGGCCCACTTCTCGGGCGACTGCATCTGTGACCCTTTCGATTCCTTTTCTTTCTTCCCTTCTGTTTTCTTTCTTTCTTTTTATTGAGACAGAATCTCTCTCCAGGTAACTCAGGCTGGCCTGAACTTGTGGAGATCCTCCTGCCTCAGCCTGCCAAGACCTGGGATCCTAGGCATGTGCAACCACCTCCTGCTGGCTGCCGTGTCTTTGAGACCAAAGTCTAACAAAGATGGCAGGAAAAATACAAATTGTAACCCAGAACCAATACTGAGCTCAAAGAGTAAAATTCTAAGGGAAAGAGGGACGAATGAATGAAGGAAAGAAAGAATGTTCTTCCTGGTTTGCAGCTGGCATCTGTTGGACGTTGTCAGTCCCTGACAGGAATGTCACTTCTTTCAGTGGTGCATGCTCCATGATCCCAGCACTCAGGCAGGAGGCTGAGGCAGGAGGCTCACTTCGAGCTCAAGGCCAGCCTGAACTGCACAGTGAGACCCTGTCTCAAAAAGACAAAAGAAAAAAGAAGCCAGTAAGCTAAGGATGGCAGAGCAGAATGAGAGACTTCAGGTCCTCAGGGTCTAATGTGGTGCCAGTCACCACCCTCAGACCCCTGGTGGCATCCGAAAGTGGCCCTCAGGGACACATCAACAAAAAGATAAAGTTCCAGTCACTTTTCGTCTTTTTTTTTTTTTTAATTGGTACCGGGGATCTAACTCACGACCACACACTTGCAAGGTGCTTATGCTGCTGAGCTAAATCCCCAGCCCTCACTTTTCTAAGTACCTTTTTTTTTGAGACTGGGTCTTGCTATGTAGCCAGCCTGGCCTTGGACTCACAGCAAACCTCCCGCTTCAGCCTCCCAAGTGCTGGGATCACAGGTATGTGCCACCATGAAAAGCTCTAAGCACTTCTTGCACTCAGTTTACTCTGGAGGAAACAAATATTAAAAACAGCAGCCCCGTAGCCAGCTATGGTGGTACACACCCACGATCCCACTGCTTGGGAGGCTGAGGCAGGAGGATCTCGAAGTCAAGCCCAGCCTAAAACCTCCAGACTTTGCCAGACCCTGTCTCCGAACAGAAACTAGAAAAGGGGTTGGGCCATGGCTCAGCCTTGGGTTTCATCCCCGCTGACATAAAAAAACAGATGACGATTTTGGAAAATGACAAATTTTAAAAAGGTGAGGCAGGCAGTGGAGCAAGCTGGGGAGGTGACATGTGGCTGGCCGGATGTGGCCTCCCGATGGTGACACAGAGCCAAGGGTGCATAAGAAGGGACCAGGAGGCTCTGAGGAACGAGGATTCCTCGCAGAGGGATCTTCGGAAATCTCAGGGCTGCCACGCCTGGCCGGGAATGGACACGAGCTCGATTCCCAACACAGCCAGGTGAAGTAGTGCACGCCTATAATCTCAGTGCTTAGGAGGCTGAGGCAGGAGAATCACTGTGAGCTCCAGACCACCCTGAATGACGTACTGAGACCCTGTCTCAAAAAACCTGAAAAAAGAAACAAAACCCTTTAAAACTGGCAGACAAACTTGTCGGTGGGTGTAAGAGACCCTGATGTCCGGCAGACATTAGCGCTAACCTGCTGAACTCCCTGACTTTCCTTCCTAATAAAAAGTAATAATAAGGGGCTGGGGATTTAGCTCAGCGGCATAAGCGTCTGCCTTGCAAGCAGGCAGTCGTGAGTTCGATCCCTGGTCCGATAAAAAGGAAAAAGAGAGAAAAAAATAAAAAAGTAATAATAAGTCCTTGCTATTAGTAGCTACCCAGGAGGCTGAGCCAAGAAGATCCCTTGAGCCCAGAAGTTCAAGGCCAGCTGGGGCAGCACAGCAAGATCCCACTTCAAAAACAAATAAAGAAGTAAAAGTAAAATAAAGTGAAATCAATCAATGCTGTTACTGGGGAGTCCACAGCCAGGCGCCCGGGAGGAAGCACCGCCCCTGGCCCCGGGAGGTGCAGGGCTGAAGAGCCGCCCTAGTGACAATGACAGCCTGGACGCCTGTGAGGAGGCTGGGGCGGCTGGGACACAAGGTCTGACAGCGTCACCTTTGCCAGCTGTCAGGTGTGCAGCGTCCTCCACCATCGCAGGCCAGGGGGGCCCGGGGGTCCGGTCCTCAACCAGAGCCTTGAGAAGAAACCCAAGACAGTGTGTGTGTGTGTGTGTGTGTGTGTGTTTTGTCTGTGCTGGGATTGAACCCAGGGCCTTGTGCTGAGCTACATCCCCAGCCCTTTTTTATTTTGAGACAGACTCTTGCTAAATTGCTAAGTTGCTCAAACTGGGCTCAGGCTTGCGATCCTCCTGCCTCAGCCTCCCAGCGTGCTGGGATCCCAGTGTGCACCGCCTTGTTTTAGGTCGCACAGGGCTGCTCTCCTCATCGGTTGCTGTCAGCTCTGGCTTCTCAGTGTGGGCTGCAAACCTGGCTCACCTCTGTGCCTCCCCTCCCCCGCGCCGGCAGCTGCGTGGCACGCGCCTGACACCTAGTGGCCAGGACGGGGGACCGCAGGACGGTGGTTTTCGTTTCCCTTAAGACCCGAGGTGCAGCCGGCTCGCCTGGGACCCCAGGAGGCCGAAGCAGGAGGACCGCAAATGTGAGCCCAGCCTGGGCAACTTAGGGAGACGCTATCTCAGACTAACAAGCACAAAAGCGCCGGGGATCAGCTCAGAGCAAAGACTCCTGGTTCAACTCCCAGTTCCCCCCACTCCTGTCTGGGCAACACAAGATCTGGGGTGCAAGGCTCCATGGGA